CGCGTGCCGTGTCACCCATACGGTCCACCCGTATTGGGGTCTCAGGTCCATACGGTGGACAGCCGTTTCAATACGGGCAAAAATAAAAACAATTAATGTGTTTGTCTCTTTGTTTGTGTTTCTACGTCGTGATGGGACTTGGTAGGAGGAACGCTGATATTTATCAGGGGCACGGAGTGACCAATCAGGTCTGGATTGATATTCTTAGGTTTTTTCGGTAAAGTCACGTAGGTAAAAAAAAATTTTTAATTAATAAAAGTAAAATAAAATAAAAATCACGACGTTTCGGAGGCAACACAAGCTTCCGTCTTCAGGTGGAACCGTCACAGCACGCTTGCTGTATCAAGTAAGATAAAATTAAAATAAAAGCTTGTGTTGCCTTCGAAACGTCGTGATTTTTATTTTATTTTACTTTTATTAATTTTTATTTTCCACCTACATGACTTTACCGAAAAAATCTAAGAATATGAATCCTTGCAGTCACGAAAGCTTCAAATCTAGGTCTGGATTGGTCTGTAATAAGGTAGAGGAGGCAAGTGATAAGGGGTTGATATACACTATACACTACACTAGTATACACTATACACTACTACTGTACATTTTACACTACTATACACTACACTAGTATACACTATACACTACTACTGTACATTTTACACTACACAAAAACGATGAAAAAAATATATGTAAACTCAATTCCGCATGCAAATGAGGAAACGCTTCAAGCAGTCAACTTCCACTCACAAGTTCATTCGGGGAAATCAAAATGGGACAATCGAGAAAAGTCTTCTTGGTTCTTTCGGTAAAGTCGCGTAGAAGGGAAATAATAAAATAATAAAAATAAAACATAATAAAATTTTATTTTATTATGTTTTATTTGTATTATTCATTTGCTTGTGTTTCTACCTCGTGAATATATAATATATTATTGTATTATGTTTTATTTTTATTATTTTATTACTTCCCTTCTACGTGACTTTACCGAAAGAACCAAGAAGATGAATCCCTGCAGTCACGAAAGCTTTAAAATAATTGTATTATGTTTTATTTGTATTATTTTATTACTTCCCTTCTACGTGACTTTACCGAAAGAACCAAGAAGATGAATCCCTGCAGTCACGAAAGCTTTAAAATAATTTTATTATGTTTTATTTGTATTATTTTATTACTTCCCTTCTACGTGACTTTACCGAAAGAACCAAGAAGATGAATCCCTGCAGTCACGAAAGCTTTAAAATAATTTTATTATGTTTTATTTGTATTATTTTATTACTTCCCTTCTACGTGACTTTACCGAAAGAACCAAGAAGATGAATCCCTGCAGTCACGAAAGCTTTAAAATAATTTTATTATGTTTTATTTGTATTATTTTATTACTTCCCTTCTACGTGACTTTACCGAAAGAACCAAGAAGATGAATCCCTGCAGTCACGAAAGCTTTAAAATAATTTTATTATGTTTTATTTGTATTATTTTATTACTTCCCTTCTACGTGACTTTACCGAAAGAACCAAGAAGATGAATCCCTGCAGTCACGAAAGCTTTAAAATAATTGTATTATGTTTTATTTGTATTATTTTATTACTTCCCTTCTACGTGACTTTACCGAAAGAACCAAGAAGATGAATCCCTGCAGTCACGAAAGCTTTAAAATAATTTTATTATGTTTTATTTGTATTATTTTATTACTTCCCTTCTACGTGACTTTACCGAAAGAACCAAGAAGATGAATCCCTGCAGTCACGAAAGCTTTAAATGGAAATCGAGTAAAGGTTCAGCGTGCGGCCAAAAAAATGTACGTTCCACTGCAGACGCAAACCAACAGGTCAACTCGCCTGACGCCTGACGCCTTGCTCTGTGCGTTATATATCAATGGGGGACTTTTATACTGGTAGGAACCTCCTGGTTACACCAGCCCACAGGGGATTATTGTGTCCGTCCGTCCGTCGTGCATAATTTTTGTAGTATTTTAGTATAAATACATGGAAATTTTGATTCATGTTGTTTTTTCTGACTTTATGTGAACGTAAATATACAAATTCGCACGTGTTCTCATTGAAAAGAGGTCAGTTTCAACGCCATTATTCAGGCCGGGCTGAATTATTGAATATCGCGGTCTTGGCTTTCGCGGCACTTTCCAAGAACCCCCCGCGATAATCAAGGATCTCCCGCACACTTCTGATTCTGTAGACTGTGCTGCGTGCATCGCGTTTTGTTCAAGTTGATGCGATTACAATGACTGTATCATGATCCTGTGTGCACGTTCTCTCACCCACGTGCGCCTCGTTCCGTCTCTCAATGCAATCCCAAGCGTACGTCTCTCTCCACTCTCTCCTGTGTGTGTGTTCCACGAGATGTGGTGGATGGTCGCGGTGGCGAGATGTTCATTCTCTCGCCTGGCATGCAGGAGGTCCGTGGGTTCGCTCCCGAGCCTGACGCCTGCTGTATATTTGGAGTTTGCGTGTGTCTCTCTCTCATCATCATCATCACGGTGGCTAGGAGATGTTAACTACCTCGCCTGGTATACAGGAGGTCGTGGGTTCAATCCCGACCCAGACGCCTGCTGCTGTATATTTGGAGTTTGCGTGTATTTCTCTCTCCGTGGTGAGATGTTAACCACCTCGCCTGGTACACAGGAGGTCGTGGGTTCCATCCCGACCCTGACGCCTGCTGTATAGTTGGAGTTTGCGTCTCTCTTTCCCCGTGGTCGCGTTGATTTTTCTCCGGATGCTCCGGCTGTTATAAATGTCCACGTGATAATCCCACTTCGTTGAGCTATCGTTTTCGATCGCCAAGTCGCTTCTGTAAAAGCGCTACACAGCTTATTGGAGCCTTTGCTGGTCTGTCGCCAGCAGGCAACGCACGCGCGCACTGATTGAGAACTCCCTCTCTGAGCCACGGCCTACGTAGGGTGCGAAAAAAGTTCAACTAACATACGCAGTGCGCTGTCACTCTGAATCATCATGCATGTTGAACTTCTTTCGCGCCGTACGTAGACAACCATGCTAATCGGAGGTGCGGTGTTGAGTCTATGGCAGGGGTGGGGAACGTATACAGTGAGGGGAAAAAGTATTTGATCCCCTGCTGATTTTGTACGTTTGCCCACTGAAATCTTTGTGATTGAGAGGGGGTCAAATATTTATTTCCCTCATTAAAATGCAAATCAATTTATAACATTTTTGACATGCGTTTTTCTGGATTTTTGTTGTTGTTATTCTGTCTCTCACTGTTCAAATAAACATACCGTTAAAATTATAGACTGATCATTTCTTTGTCAGTGGGCAAACGTACAAAATCAGCATGGGATCAAATACTTTTCCCCTCACTGTAAGGCCCGAGAAATCATTTGGTGTGGCCCTGCCAAGGCAACTGCAGACGGGACTCGAAATTCAATAAATCTGGGAGCAAAACCTGGAAAAGCAGTTGCGAGTAGCAGCAACATCATCATCAATACCAGCTGACATCACACGCCACAGTTCCAGCCATCACATTAGGGGTGAGTTAATTCAATGTTTGACCAAAAATAACGGCCTAATTTTTAAGTTGATAATTTTGTACGGCCCGCGAATGATGTTATACATATCCAAATGCCTCTTGGCAGATAAAAGGTTCCCCACCCCTGGTCTATGGGTAGTGTTAGTCTATGGGTAGTGTTAGTCTATAGGTAGTGTTAGTCTATGGGCAGTGTTAGTCTATGGGTAGTGTTAGTTTATGGGTAGTGTTAGTCTATGGGCAGTGTTAGTCTATGGGTAGTGTTAGTCTATGGGCAGTGTTGAGTCTATGGGCAGTGTAGTCTATGGGTAGTGTTAGTCTATGGGTAGTGTTAGTCTATGGGCAGTGCTAGTCTATGGGCAGTGTTAGTCTATGGGTAGTGTTAGTCTATGGGTAGTGTTGAGTCTATGGGTAGTGTTAGTCTATGGGTAGTGTTAGTCTATGGGTAGTGTTAGTCTATGGGTAGTGGTAGTCTATGGGTAGTGTTAGTCTATGGGTAGTGTTAGTCTATGGGTAGTGTTAGTCTATGGGTAGTGTTAGTCTATGGGTAGTGTTAGTCTATGGGCAGTGTTAGTCTATGGGCAGTGTTAGTCTATGGGTAGTGTTAGTCTATGGGCAGTGTTAGTCTATGGGCAGTGTTAGTCTATGGGCAGTGTTAGTCTATGGGCAGTGTTAGTCTATGGGTAGTGTTAGTCTATGGATAGTGTTAGTCTATGGGCAGTGTTAGTCTATGGGTAGTGTTAGTCTATGGGCAGTGTTGAGTCTATGGGTAGTGTTAGTCTATGGGTAGTGTTGAGTCTATGGGCAGTGTTGAGTCTATGGGTAGTGTTAGTCTATGGGTAGTGTTAGTCTGTGGGCAGTGTTAGTCTATGGGTAGTGTTAGTCTATGGGCAGTGTTAGTCTATGGGCAGTGTTAGTCTATGGGTAGTGTTAGTCTATGGGTAGTGTTGAGTCTATGGGTAGTGTTAGTCTATGGGTAGTGTTAGTCTATGGGTAGTGTTAGTCTATGGGCAGTGTTAGTCTATGGGCAGTGTTAGTCTATGGGTAGTGTTGAGTCTATGGGCAGTGTTAGTCTATGGGCAGTGTTAGTTTCTGGGTAGTGTTAGTCTATGGGTAGTGTTAGTCTATGGGCAGTGTTGAGTCTATGGGCAGTGTTAGTCTATGGGCAGTGTTAGTTTCTGGGTAGTGTTGAGTCTATGGGCAGTGTTAGTCTATGGGCAGTGTTAGTTTCTGGGTAGTGTTAGTCATCCACCCTCCAACCTCCGCCCTGCACCCTCCACCCTCTCCATCCATCACCCTGGACCCTGCATCTTCCACCCTCCACCCTGCACCCTCCACCTTCTCCATCCTCCACCCTCCACCCTGCACCCTGCACCCTCCACCTTCTCCATCCATCACCCTGCACCCTCCACCTTCTCCATCCTGCACCCTGCACCCTCCACCCTCTCCATCCATCACCCTCCACCCCCCCGACCCCCGCCCTTCCTCCACCCCCCACTCCCGCGCCTCGCCGGTCCGGATGCGCGCTTGACGCGGGGGAAGGGAGGGGAGGAAGAGGGGGGAGGGAGGGAAGGGATGGAGGATGGAGAGAGGTGGTGGTGGTGGTGGTGGTGGGGGGGTGAGGCAGTGAGAGAAGGGACGCGATGGAGGTGGAGGAGGAGGAATTGATGGAGTGGAGGGAGGGGTGAGTAGGGGTGAGTAGGGGTGAGTAGCAGCAGTCTCGCCGAGACGTCCCCGAGTCTGCATGACTCCCGCTCGCGTGCCGGGCGCGTGCCCCTCCTTGTCCACGTTCCTCTGGCGGGGCCGCGCGTCCAGGCGCGCGCACAGCTCCCGTACAAGAATGCGCTGCTGCTACTTCTGCTGCTGATGCTACTGCTGATGATGATGCTGCTGATGATGATGACGATGATGGTGATGTCTCGTGGTGTGCGTCGCACGCGTTTTGGCTGCCGCTGCTGCTGCTGATGCTGCTGCTGCTACTTCTGCTGCTGATGCTGCTGCTGATGCTGATGATGATGGCGATGATGGTGATGTCTCGTGGTGTGCGTCGCACGCGTTTTGGCTGCGCGCTGCTGCTGCCGCTGCTGCTGACGCTGCTCCTGCTGCGGCTGCCGGGCCTCGAGCGCGACCTCTCGCCGGGTCCCCTCGGCGCTCAGGGGGCCGCGGACCCCGTCGACGACCGGCGAGGAACGGGGGCCCGGATCCACGGCGGGGTGGCGGCGAGGGGGTCGCGGCGGGGTTCGGGCAGCACTCTGTCGGGGGTCTTGCGCGCGGCGCAGCGCGAGAGGCGAGCGGCGAACCCCGTGGTGCCGGACCCCTCTTTGGGGGTCGACCCCCCGCGGGGACCCCCTCTGGACCCCCGCGAGATCTTCTTGGCGGTGAAGACGACGCGTCGCTTTCACGAGGAGAGGCTGGCGCTGCTGCTGCGCACCTGGGTTTCGCGAGCGCGCGCGCAGGTGAGGCAATCGCTCACCATGGCAACGATCACCGTGGCGACGATCACCATGGCAACACTCACCTTGGCAACGCTCACCGTGGCGACGATCACCATGGCAGCACTCACCACGGAAATACTCACCACGGCATCACTCACCACGGCAACACTCACCACGGCATCACTCATCCCGGGCTCACTCACCATGGCAACACTCACCACGACAATACTCACCATGGCAACACTCACCACGGTAATACTCACCATGGCAACACTCACCATGGCAACACTCACCATGGCAACACTCACCATGGCAACACTCACCATGGCAACACTCACCACGGTAATACTCACCATGGCAGCACTCACCACGGCTCACTCACCACGGCTCTATGCAGAGAGAGGGGGTCTCCATGGAGAGAGAGAGAGGGAGTTGGGGTGTCTATGGAGAGTTTGGGTGTCTATGGCAAGAGAGAGAGACTTGGGGTGTCTATGGCAAGAGAGAGAGACTTGGGGTCTCTATGGCAAGAGAGAGATGTGGGGTGTCTATGGAGAGTTGGGGTGTCTATGGCAAGAGAGAGAGACTTGGGGTGTCTATGGAGAGTTGGGGTGTCTATGGCGAGAGAGAGAGAGAGAGACTTTGGGGTCTCTATGGCAAGAGAGAGAGATTCGGGGTGTCTGTGGAGACTCGGGGTGTCTATGTAGACTTGGGGTCTCTATGGCAAGAGAGAGAGAGACTTGGGGTGTCTATGGCAAGAGAGAGAGAGACTTGGGGTGTCTATGGCAAGAGAGAGAGACTTGGGGTCTCTATGGCAAGAGAGAGAGACTTGGGGTCTCTATGGCAAGAGAGAGAGAGACTTGGGGTGTCTATGGAGACTTGGGGGTTTCTGTTTTTAATTATCGCGCGTGCCAGGCAGCCGCATCTGACAGCCATTAGCGACGGATTCCTGAGGCCGGGAACCCCCCTCAGAGACCCCCTCAGTACCCCCTCAGAGAACCCCCTCAGAGAACCCCCCTCAGAGACCCCCTCAGAGAACCCCCTCAGTACCCCCTCAGAGAACCCTCTCAGAGAACCCCCTCAGTACCCCCTCAGAGAACCCCCCTCAGAGAACCCTCTCAGAGAACCCCCTCAGAGAACCCTCTCAGAGACCCCCTCAGAGAACCCCCTCTCAGAGACCCCCTCAGAGAACCCCCTCAGTACCCCCTCAGAGAACCCCTCAGTACCCCCTCAGAGAACCCCCTCAGAGAACCCCCTCAGAGAACCCCTTCAGTACCCCCTCAGAGAACCCCCTCAGTACCCCCTCAGAGAACCCCTCTCAGAGAACCCCCTCAGTACCCCCTCAGAGAACCCCCTCAGAGAACCCCTCTCAGAGAACCCCTCTCAGAGAACCCCCTCAGAGAACCCCCTCAGAGAACCCCCTCAGAGAACCCCCTCAGAGACCCCCTCTCAGAGAACCCTCTCAGAGAACCCCCTCAGAGAACCCCCTCAGTACCCCCTCAGAGAACCCCCCTCAGAGAACCCCCTCAGAGAACCCCCCTCAGAGAACCCCCTCAGAGAACCCCCTCAGAGAACCCCCTCGCGAAACACAACCACAGAACCCCCTCGTAGACCCCCTCGTAGACCCCCTCGCGAAACACAACCACAGACCCCCTCTCTCAGACAACCCCCTCAGTACCCGCTCAGAGGACCCCCTCACGAAACACAACCACAGAACCCCCTCGTAGACCCCCTCAGAGGACCCCCTCAGAGGACCCCCTCACGAAACACAACCACAGAACCCCCTCGTAGACCCCCTCAGGACCCCCTCAGAGGACCCCCTCACGAAACACAACCACAGAACCCCCTCGTAGACCCCCTCAGTATCCCCTCAAATAACCCCCTCAACGATCCCTACATAGACCCCTTACTCACAGAAACCCATTAACAAGACCCCGTCACATGACCCCCTCAGTGGACCCCACAATACCCTTAAAAGTTCCCCTCAGATCCCCTCAGACCCCTATAGGAAACCCCTCACAGAGAACCCCTGTGAGAGCCCCCTCCATTACACTCGCACGTCCTTCACGACGTCTGGCGTGGAAGAGTAGGCCAAGTACAGCTCTAGAGGGGGTGGTGGAAGAGTAGGCCAAGTACAGCTCTAGAGGGGTGGTGGAAGAATAGACCAAGTACAGCTCTAGAGAAGGTGGTGGAAGAGTAGACCAAGTACAGCTCTAGAGGGGTGGTGGAAGAGTAGACCAAGTACAGCTCTAGAGGGGTGGTGGAAGAGTAGACCAAGTACAGCTCTAGAGAAGGTGGTGGAAGAGTAGACCAAGTACAGCTCTAGAGAAGGTGGTGGAAGAGTAGACCAAGTACAGCTCTAGAGAAGGTGGTGGAAGAGTAGACCAAGTACAGCTCTAGAGAAGGTGGTGGAAGAGTAGACCAAGTACAGCTCTAGAGAAGGTGGTGGAAGAATAGACCAAGTACAGCTCTAGAGAAGGTGGTGGAAGAGTAGACCAAGTACAGCTCTAGAGGGGGTGGTGGAAGAATAGACCAAGTACAGCTCTAGAGAAGGTGGTGGAAGAGTAGACCAAGTACAGCTCTAGAGAAGGTGGTGGAAGAGTAGACCAAGTACAGCTCTAGAGGGGGTGGTGGAAGAATAGACCAAGTACAGCTCTAGAGGGGGTGGTGGAAGAGTAGACCAAGTACACGCGTAGGTCTCCACGCTTCCACGAACTGCAGAGACCCCCTCGACTTACGCACATTCGGAGAATTACGAACAAACGCGTCGCCATAATTCCTGTTGCTGTTGGGATGGAGAGTTGTAAGTTCAACAGAACGTGAAGAACCAGTGGCATCTACATCTGCAGAACGTGAAGAACCAGCGGCATCTCCATCTACAGAATGTGAAGAACCAGTGGCATCTACATCTGCAGAACGTGAAGAACCAGTGGCATCTACATCTACAGAATGTGAAGAACCAGTGGCATCTACATCTGCAGAACGTGAAGAACCAGTGGCATCTACATCTACAGAATGTGAAGAACCAGTGGCATCTACATCTGCAGAACGTGAAGAACCAGTGGCATCTACATCTGCAGAACGTGAAGAACCAGTGGCATCTACATCTACAGAACGTGAAGAACCAGTGGCATCTACATCTACAGAACGTGAAGAACCAGTGGCATCTACATCTATAGAACATGAAGAACCAGTGGCATCTACATCTGCAGAACGTGAAGAACCAGCGGCATCTACATCTACAGAACGTGAAGAACCAGTGGCATCTACATCTGCAGAACGTGAAGAACCAGTGACATCTACATCTGCAGAACGTGAAGAACCAGTGGCATCTCCATCTACAGAACGTGAAGAACCAGTGGCATCTACATCTGCAGAACGTAAAGAACCAGCGGCATCTCCATCTACAGAACGTGAAGAACCATTGGCATCTACATCTATAGAACATGAAGAACCAGTGGCATCTACATCTACAGAACGTGAAGAACCAGTGGCATCTACATCTACAGAACGTGAAGAACCAGTGGCATCTCCATCTACAGAACGTGAAGAACCAGTGGCATCTACATCTACAGAACGTGAAGAACCAGTGGCATCTACATCTACAGAACGTGAAGAACCAGTGGCATCTACATCTGCAGAACGTGAAGAACCAGTGGCATCTACATCTACAGAACGTGAAGAACCAGTGGCATCTACATATGCAGAACGTGAAGAACCAGTGGCATCTACATCTATAGAACATGAAGAACCAGTGGCATCTACATCTGCAGAACGTGAAGAACCAGTGGCATCTACATCTACAGAACGTGAAGAACCAGTGGCATCTACATCTACAGAACGTGAAGAACCAGTGGCATCTACATCTACAGAACGTGAAGAACCAGTGGCATCTACATCTGCAGAACGTAAAGAACCAGCGGCATCTACATCTGCAGAACGTGAAGAACCAGTGTCATATACATCTACAGAACGTGAAGAACCAGTGTCATATACATCTACAGAACGTGAAGAACCAGTGGCATCTACATCTACAGAACGTGAAGAACCAGTGGCATCTACATCTACAGAACGTGAAGAACCAGTGGCATCTGCAGAACGTGAAGAACCAGTGGCATCTACATCTATAGAACGTGAAGAACCAGTGGCATCTACAGAACGTGAAGAACCAGTGGCATCTACATCTACAGAACGTAAAGAACCAGTGGCATCTACATCTGCTAAACGTAAAGAACCAGCGGCATCTACATCTGCAAAACGTGAAGAACCAGTGGCATCTACATCTGCAGAACGTGAAGAACCAGTGGCACTCATCTGCAGAACGTGAAGAACCAGTGGCATCTACATCTACAGAACGTGAAGAACCAGTGGCATCTACATCTAAGAACGTGAAGACCAGTGGCATCTGCAGAACATGAAGAACCAGTGGCATCTACATCTATAGAACATGAAGAACCAGTGGCATCTGCAGAACGTGAAGAACCAGTGGCATCAACATCTGCAGTACGTGAAGAACCAGTGGCATCTACATCTCTAGAACGTGAAGAACCAGTGGCATCTACAGAACGTGAAGAACCAGTGGCATCTACATCTACAGAACGTAAAGAACCAGTGGCATCTACATCTACAGAACATAAAGCACCATTGGCATCTACATCTACAGAACATAAAGAACCAGTGGAATCTACATCTACAGAACGTGAAGAACCAGTGACATCTACATCTATAGAACGTGAAGAACCAGTGGCATCTACGTCTACAGAACATGAAGAAACCAGCGGCATCTACATCTACAGAACATAAAGAACCAGTGGCATCTACATCTACAGAACATAAAGAACCAGTGGCATCTACATCTGCAGAACGTGAAGAACCTTTCTCTATAGGACTCTGTGTCTCTATGTATCTCTATGTGTCTCTATGTATCTCTACAGGTCTCTATGTGTCTCTATGTATCTCTATTTATCTCTATGTATCTCTATGTGTCTCTACGGGTCTCTACGTGTCTCTACGGGTCTCTATGTATCTCTACGTATCTCTATGGGTCTCTGCGGGCCTCCCCAGCACTCCCCTGTGGGCCCTTGTTGGGTGCAGCTCCTGGAGTGGCACTTCCGCGGACCTCGTGGCGGTGACCTTCGCTATTGTCCCGCGGTCACCGCCGCCGCCGCCACCACCGCCGCCACCGCCGATCTTTTCTGTTTTGTTTCTTTATCTGCGAGGCCGCGGCTGCTTCCTCCACTTCCTCGGCCGCACCCCTCCAACTCACTCACCCCACAGGCAAAGTTCCCCCGAGTAGCCTGCGGCAGACTGTTGGGGCAAGTGCTGTTAGCGAGCACCTATGAAGTCCAGCACGGCACACTCAGCAACCTACAACAACACACTCACCCACTCACTCACCCACCCACTCACTCACCCACCCACCTACTCATTCACTCACCCACCCAATCACCCACCAACTCACGCACTCACTCACTCACCCACTCACTCACCCACTCACTCACCCACCCACTCACCCTCCCAAACACCCACCCACTCACTCACCCACCCAATTACCCACTCACCCACCCACCAACTCAACCACCCACTCACCCAACCACCCAATCAACCACCCACCCACCAACTCAACCACCCACTCACTCACCCACTCACTCACCCGCCCACTCACCCACCCACTCACTCACCACACTGCAGGTCACCTCACTGGCTCGCCCTCTCGCACTCCTCCACTACGGAATAACTACTCACCATCACCACCACCACCATCACCACCACCCACCATCATCACCACCACCATCACCACCACCATCACCACCACCACCATCGTCACCACCCACCATCGTCACCACCACCATCATCACCACCACCACCATCATAACCACCCACCATCATATTCTTAGGTTTTTTCTGTAAAAAACCTAAGAATATGAATCCTTGCAGTCACGAAAGCTTCAAATCTAGAACCCACCATCATCACCACCACCATCACCACCACCATCATCACCACCACCACCATCATTTACCACCCACCATCATCACCCCCACCCACCACCCACCAACATCACCCCCCACCCACCACCACCATCATCACCATCTCTGCTCCCTGTGTCGCTGACAACAGCGACAAGAACCTCGCTCTCCACGCAACACGCGACACTCCGACAGTGCCGCTTGTGGCTGGCCGCCTGGCGCCTCTGTGCCCCTGCCCCACTCAAGGAGCGGCTGTTTGCGATCGCAAAGTCGACCAATAACGAGGCACGCGGCGTTCTGTCCCCACGCAGACGCACATCTTCACGGACGAGGTGGACGAGAAGCTCCTGGCTGCAGCAGGTGAGAGACGGGATCAATCATCCGCTGGGATTTGCGTGACGATGATCATGATGATGGTGGTGGTGGTGGTGATGTCTATGATAATGATGTCCATGACGATGATGATGGTTGTGGTGATGTCCATGACGACGATGATGGTGGTGGTGATGTCCATGATGATGATGATATCCATGATGATGATGATGGTGGTGATGTCAATGATAATGATGTCCATGATGATGATGATGGTGGTGATGTCCATGATGATGATGATGGTGGTGATATCCATGATGATGCTGGTGGTGGTGATGTCAATGATGATGATGACGGTGGTGATGTCAATGATGATGATTGTGATGTCCATGATGATGGTGGTGATGTCCATGATGATGATGGTGGTGGTGATGCCCATGATGATGATGGTGGTGGTAATGTCCATGATGATGATGATGTCCATGATGATGATGGTGGTGATGATGTCCATGATGATGGTCATGCTGGCCGTGCAGGGGATGCCACCCACCCACTCATTCGTGTGCCACAGTGCCGGTAGCCTTCATAGGGGTTGCTACTCGCTAACAGCACTTGCCCCTAGAGTCTGTCACAGGCTACATGAGGGATCTTTGTCTTTGTCGGTAATCATATCCTGAGAGAGATGATCAGTTGAACATGGTGTTCATAATGCAGGTTTTAATGGGTTAGATGGTGGCATTGGTGGTGTTGGCGACGATGATGTTGATGATGATGATGTTGTTGACGATGTTGATGATGATGGTGTTGACGACGATGGTATTGACGACGATGATGTTGACGATTGTGTTGACGATGATGTTGACGATGATGTTGACGATGATGATGTTGACGATTGTGTTGACAATCATGTTGACGATGATGGTGTTGACGATGATGGTGTTGACGATGATGATGTTGACGTTGTTGACGATGATGGTGTTGACGATGATGTTGATGTTGACGATGTCCCGCAGGTCCCCAGCTCATCGCCACCAACTGCTCCTCCATCCACAGTCGCCACGCGCTCTCGTGCAAGATGGCGGTGGAGCTGGACACGTATCTCGTGTCCGGGAAGACGTGAGACCCCCCCCACCCCTCCCCCCTCCTCCTCCTCCACCCCTCCCCCCTCCTCTACCCCTCCCCCTCCACCCCTCCCCTTCTCCACCCCTCTCCCTCCCTTTCCTCCACCCCTCCCCTCCTCCTCCCCCACCCCTCCCCCTCCACCCCTCCCCTCCTCCACCCCTCCCCCTCCTCCACCCCTCCCTCCTCCACCCCTCCCCCTCCTCCACCCCCCCTCCCCCACCCCTCCTCCTCCCCCGCCCCCTCCTCCACCCCTCCCCCACCCCCCCCCCATTCCTCCTCCACCCCACCCCTCCTCCACCCCACCCTCTCCCCCACCCCTCCCCCCTCCTCCTCCCCCTCCCTCTCCTCCACCCCTCCCCCACCCCTCCCCCTCCTCCACCCCTCCCCCCTCCTCCTCCCCCTCCCTCTCCTCCACCCCTCCCCCACCCCTCCCCCTCCACCCCTCCCCCTCCTCCCCTTTCCCTCCTCCTCCACCCCCCCTCCTCCACCCCTCCCTCTCCTCCACCCCTCCCCCTCCTCCACCCCTCCCGCCCCCTCCAACCCTCCCCCTCCCTTTCCTCCACCCCTCCCCTCCTCCACCCCTCCTCCTCCTCCACCCCTCCCCCTCCTCCACCCCCCCTCCACCCCTCCTCCACCCCTCCCCCTCGTCCACCCCTCCCCCTCCCCCACCCCTCCCCCGGACCCACCCCCCCCTTACCCCTCTGCCCCCCCCCCCTCTGCCCCCCCCCTCCTCCAGCTGGTTCTGCCACGTGGACGACGACAACTACGTGAACGTGGGTGCCCTGGCGCGCGCGCTGGGGGCCTTCCCCAGCTCGGGCGAGGTGTACGTGGGCCGGCCCAGCCTGGACCACCCCATCCGGGCCGTGGAGCGCGTGGGGAACGTCTCGGTGCGGACACACGGCGCGGCCTCGCGAGCCTCACCCCCCAAGGCCACACCACACACACCACCTCATCCGCCGCCACGCGTCGTTAAGTCGGATGTTAATTGCCTCGCTTGGTTTACAGGAGGTCGTGGGTTCGATCCTGACCCCAACGCCTGCTGTAGATTTAGAGTTTGCGTGTCTCTCTGATCATCACGGTGGCGAGGAGATGTTAACTACCTCGCCTGGTGTACAGGAGGTCGTGGGTTCCATCCCGACCCTGACGCCTGCTGCTGTACATTTGGAGTTTGCGTGTCTCTCTCTCTCATCATCATCACGGTGGCTAGGAGACGTTCACTACCTCGCCTGGTTGGGGTGAACGCCTCCCTGGTACTGCTGCCGCCCCCCTCCCCCTGCCCCCCCACCCCAGCACCGCCCCTCACTGACCCCTGACCTTCCACCATAACTCCCATAACCCCCCCATGACCTCTCACCCGTGACCCCTCACCCGTGACCCCACAGAGGCCCGTCACCTTCTGGTTCGCCACGGGCGGCGCTGGATTCTGCCTCAGCCGCCCACTGGTGCTGCGCATGCGGCCCTGGGCCAGGTGAGCCCGGGGGTCAAGGGTCAGGGGGGTCAGGTATGGGGGGGGTCACGTGAGCATGGTCAGCTGTTTGCGGATAGGGGTCAGGTGCGGTCAGATGTGAGGGGTCAGGTGTGAGGGGTCAGATGGGGTCAGGTGTGAGGGGTCAGATGTAAGGGGTCAGGTGTGTGCGGTCAGACGTGAGTGGTCAGGTGTGAGGGGTCAGGTGTGAGGGGTCAGATGGTGTAAAGTGTGAGGGGTCAGGTTGTGAGGGGTCCGATGTGAGGGGTCAGATGTGAGGGGTCAGGTAGGGTCAGATGTGTGCGGTCAGATGTGAAGGGTCAGATGTGAGGGGTCAGGTGTGAGGGGTCAGATGTGAGGGGTCAGGTGTGGACAGAGCGAACGTCTCGACGATTCTGATTGCGCCTCGTTGCCTCTGCAGCGACGGGGAGTTCGTCCGCACGAGCGAGCGGATCCGGCTGCCCGACGACGTCACCGTGGGGTACATCGTGGAGGCGCTGCTGGGAGGCAGCCTCACGGCATCACCCCTCTTCCACTCGCACCTAGAGACCCTGCCCCTGCTACCTGCAGGGCGCCTCACCCAGCAGGTGCGCTCACCACTCACTCATTCATTCACTCACTCACTCATCACTCACTCACTCATTCACTCACTCACTTACTCACCACTCACTCACTCACCACTCACTCACTCACCACTCACTCACTCACTCACCTCTCACTCACTCACCGCTCACTCACTCACCGCTCACTCACCGCTCACTCACCGCTCACTCACTGCTCACTCACTGCTCACTCACCGCTCACCGCTCACTCACCACTCACCACTCACTCACTCACCACTCACTCACCACTCACTCACTCACTCACCTCTCACTCACCACTCACTCAGCAATCACTCACCACTCACTCACCACTCACTCATTCACTCACTCACCACTCACTCACTCACCACTCACTCACCACTCACCACTCACTCACCGCTCACTGCGGCGTGACGCCCACACAGGCGACGCTGAGCTACGGAGTGCTGGACAGGAAGAGGAACGTCATCTCCTTGCCGGGTCCCTTCCCCCTTCACGCGGACCCCTCCCGGTGAGACTCACACCGCATACTCAGCACGTCACACGTGCGGCGTCACACACACAGCATCACACGTGCGGTGTCACACACAGCACGACACACACAGCGTCACACACACAGCGTCACACACACAGCACTACACACACAGCACTACACACACAGCGTCACACGTGCGGTGTCACACACAGCACGACACACACAGCGTCACACGTGCGGCGTCACACACACAGCGTCACACACACAGCATCACACACACAGCGTCACACACCGTGTCACACAGCATGACACACACAGCATCACACGTGCGGCGTCACACACAGCACGACACACACACCGCGTCACACACAGTGTCACACACACAGCATCACACACAGTGTCACACAGCACTACACACACAGCGTCACACACACAGCATCACACACCGTGTCACACAGCACGACACACACACAGCGTCACACACAGTGTCACACACACAGCATCACACACAGTGTCACACAGCACTACACACACAGCGTCACACACACAGCATCACACACAGTATCACACAGCACGACACACACACAGCATCACACACAGTGTCACACACACAGCATCACACACAGTGTCACACAGCACTACACACACAGCGTCACACACACAGCATCACACGTGCAGAATCACACACAGCGTCACACACACACAGCGTCACACACAGTGTCACACAGCACTACACACACAGCGTCACACACACAGCACGACACACACAGCGTCACACGTGCAGCATCACACACAGTGTCACACAGCACTACACACACAGCGTCACACGGCATCACACACACAGCATCACACGTGCAGAATCACACACAGCGTCACACACAGTATCACACAGCACTACACACACAGCGTCATACGGCATCACACACACAGCATCACACGTGCAGAATCACACACAGCGTCACACACAGTGTCACACAGCACTACACACACAGCGTCACACACACAGCATCACAACAACAACAACCGCCATTCGCCACTAAGTGGCGGTGATGTCACCACGACACTTGTGCCAGGCCATGTGCACCTTGAGGCCACGTGAAGTGTCGAACGCCCGCTGGCAGGAGGTCGCGGGGTAGACCCAGCAGGTGCCACGGGTCGACTGACCGAGATGACCGAGATGACTGGCTGATGCACCACTTGTGCCCCCTACTGTGCCAACTTGCTGTGCTTTAGCCACCCGGCGCTCCGCTCGTTGTTGTGAGCGTCACTCCTCCACCCTCCGTTGTTGTTGGAGGGCGACTGCTCCAACTGCCCAGTAGCGTCCTTCACGAGCCTCCTCCACTGAGGCCGATCTTGACACCGCTGGTACCAGTCATCGGCAAGTCCACTCAGCTCCACGTCCTCCTGTACCACATCACTCCATCTCCTCTCCACACCAGTGGCGGCTGGTGATATTTATTTTTGGGGGGGCGCATTTTTTTTATTTTATTGAGGGGGGCAAATAAATATAAAGCAGTACCAAAAACCATTTTGACTACTTGAATATAAATTTTGATGATCTTTATTTACATTTCAGACCAAAAGAAGTACCAAAAAGCATGTTTCCTACTTGAACATAAATGTTTCTCTTTTATATACATTTCAGACCAAAGTACCAAAAAGCATGTTTCCTACTTGAACATAAATGTTTCTCTTTTATATACATTTCAGACCAAAGTACCAAAAAGCATGTTTCCTACTTGAACATAAATGTTTCTCTTTTATATACATTTCAGACCAAAGTACCAAAAAGCATGTTTCCTACTTGAACATAAAAACGTTAGTTTCATGCTATTATCAATATGGCTGCGGCTACTTTCATGACGTTTGCATTTGTCAGAGAGATGTTTGAGGTCTCTTACCCCCGTCGTTGTCCACAAAACTTCAGTGCCGACACTTTGAAATAAAAGACAGGGAAAACAAAAAAGAGAATTGCTAACATCACATCTAGCCAGCCACCTCCGTTTCTCATAACAAGCGCGGGTGAAGCTTCGTGTGTAGCTTCGTCCTCTGTCACTGGCCTGCTGCTGGATTTGTAAATCGGGTTGGTCCGGTCCGAGATCCTTTATCTTTTTTATTTCTTCCAGCGAAAGCCTTGTGAAAGGGTTTTTTTGTAAATAAATTACAGAATTTGGATGAACTGCTGCCATTGTTTACACAAAAAATTTGATCAGCCTAGCAAGTGTCAAAGTGGTGTCGCCTTCGCACTCGCAGTAGTGGCCTACAGCGTAAATTTGAATGACAAGTGACGAGAACCAATCAGATTGGATAAAATAACATGTATCCAATTCTGATTGGCCAGGGACGCAACGACTTGCGCCCCGAGGAGAATCTTTAAGAAACCAATTAGAGACCAGCTTCAGGTCACATGCTGTCCGAAAATGTAAAGTCTCACATAGACATCCATTTGTCCGGCGCCCCGCATGAAACACATTGAAAAACATAGAAAATAGTTGACCGATTAAAGCCAGTTTTTATTAAATGCTGATGCTTTTCTTACTACCAGCCGGCACATCGTATGAAAAAAATATTTTATTTATGTATTTTTATATAAATTGTGCATATGTATATTTCTTGAATATTGATGGGGGCGGCGCCCCTGCGCCCTCTATTGACGAGCCGCCACTGCTCCACACACACGCACAGCTTGCAGGCCAAGGCACAGCGTCTCGCTTCGACAGCCGGCTCGCACAGCCCTCGCAGCTGTCGTAAGGTCAGTCTCCAGATCCTCTCTCGAACCTGCGATGACCCCCCCCCCCTCTCACCCTGCCTGCCCTCCCCCCCTTCCCTCCACCAGGTTCCTGAGCCTGCACTGCCTGCTGTACCCCGACACCAGCTGGTGTCCACGGGGGACCCTGAGGTGACGACTGGGGGGGGAGGGGCAAGGAGATACACGTGGAGCCCCGAGGAGACACGTGGGACCTTCAGAAGACACGTGGGGCCTTCAGAAGACACGTGGGACCTTCAGGAGACACGTGGGACCTTGAGGGGACACGTGGGGCCTTCAGAAGACACGTGGGACCTTGAGGAGAGACACGTGGGACCTTGAGGAGACACGTGGGACCTTGAGGAGAGACACGTGGGACCTTGAGGAGACACGTGGGACCTTGAAACACGTGGGGCCTTGAGAGACACGTGGGGCCTTCAGAAGACACGTGGGAACTTGAGAGACACGTGGGGCCTTGAGAGACACGTGGGGCCTTGATGAGAGACACGTGGGGCCTTGAGGAGACACGTGGAGCCTTGAGAGACACGTGGGACCTTGAGAGACACGTGGGGCCTTGAGAGACACGTGGGGCCTTGATGAGAGACACGTGGGGCCTTGAGAGACACGTGGGACCTTGAGAGACACGTGGGGCCTTGAGGAGACACGTGGGACCTTGAGAGACACGTGGGACCTTGAGGAGACACGTGGGGCCTTGAGGAGACACGTGGGGCCTTGAGAAGACACGTGGGACCTTGAGGAGACACGTGGGACCTTGAGCAGACACGTGGGACCTTGAGGAGAGACACGTGGGACCTTGAGGAGACACGTGGGACCTTGAGGAGACACGTGGGACCTTGAGGAGACACGTGGGGCCTTGAGGAGACACGTGGGACCTTGAGGAGAGACACGTGGGACCTTGAGGAGACACGTGGGGCCTTGAGGAGACACGTGGGGCCTTGAGAGACACGTGGGACCTTGAGGAGAGACACGTGGGGTCTTGAGGAGACACGTGGGACCTTGAGGAGAGACACGTGGGACCTTGAGGAGACACGTGGGGCCTTGAGAGACACGTGGGGCCTTGAGGGGACACGTGGGACCTTGAGGGGACACGTGGGGGTTATCCAGAGACACGTGGGGCCCCCCAAGAAGAGACACGTGGGGGGAAGACCCCCCCCCCCGACTCCGGCGGGTGTGCGAGTGTAAATACGAGACCGGAGGCGCTTATTTATTGGATGCACTTTGTTGTCGTGTGAATTCTCGCCGGCCCGGGGGGAGGTGAATGAATTGTGGCACTTTGTGAGCCTGCCGCTCCACCGTGGCCTGTCCCACCGCCGCCGCCGCCACTGCCGCCGTAGTTTCCACGAGCGTCGTTTGTGAGGCCCCCGGGGGCCTCCATCCGGTCTGGTGGCCCGGCCCAGGGAAGAAGAGTGACAAGCCCCTTCATTCACTCATTCATTCACTCACTCATTCACTCACTCACCCACTCAGTCACCCACTCATTGATCCACCCACACAGCCACTCATTCACCCACTCATTCATTAATTCACTCATTCACTCATTCACTCATCCACTCACTCACTCATCTACTCACCCACTCATTCACCCACTCATTGATCCACTCACACAGCCACTCATTCACCCACTCATTCACTCACTCACCCACTCATTCACTCACTCATCCACTCACTCATTCACTCACTCACCCACTCATTCACTCACTCACCCACTCACTCATCCACTCACTCACTCATCCACTCATTCACCCACTCATTGATCCACTCACACAGCCACTCATTCACCCACTCATTCATTCACTCACTTACTCATTCACCCACTCATTCATCCACTCACTCATTCACTCATTCATTCACTCACTCGCCCACTCATTGCACATGCATAATGTACGTTGGCTCGTTGATCCTCCCCCCCCCCTCCCCCAACTTTGCGCAAGAGCGCAGAAGCGTGGTGACCACATCTACGCCTCTGTGTAAGGAACAAACAGGTGGACTTCTCCACTAATCTGGCTGTCGCCTGATGAAGCTGATTGTAATTACTGGCGAAGCGTCGTACTCAGATTGTAAATGTCGTGGCTTGGCTCTCCAACACACCGGTTAGTGCTGTACTAGTGACGAATTGGCACGTTCTGTTTATGTGACAACCCTTACTATCTGGCAACAAAACTGACACCTTTTTTTACAAGGAGTCATGTTTGCATAGACCAGGTATTGTGGTCAATGCAAACATGACTCCTTGTAAAAAAAGTGTCAGTTTTGTTGCCAGATAAAAGGGTAAAAAAACAATTATCAACCCTTACTAGTTGGCTGTGTCGGGTTGTGGAGGGTTTTAACGACACATTTATATACTTAAGCGATCTAATAAAAAAAACACTCTATTATGGATTATTATTAATGACAATTTTTCCCATCCACTTAACTCTCCAAAAATGTTCGAATGTGAGAAATAAAAAAAATTAAAAGAAGTTCCGTTTAAGCGGTCGTAAGATGAACAGGCTTTTTCCGGAGTAAGTGGAGCGTAGGGAAATGATAAAAACGCAGCACCTCCTCCCGCAGACGAGAGGTGGGACTTGACGGGACCCTCCGTAGTAGTTTTGCGAGATCCGCTTGCGTGTGCCGGGGGCCGTTCCGCGACGGGCAAGCGATCAACGGAAGTGAATCTCTTTGAGTTGTGCGCCTTTTAGCGTCATCTGGTCCAACACCAATGGAAACTAGGCTCTAAGAAAAGCTGTCTCGGGTGTGAACTGATCAACTTCAAGGACAGTGCAAACATTATCAGCGTTGTGTTATTTGTTTGCATTACGACCGCAGGTATTGTGGTCAATGCAAACATGACTCCTTGTAAAAAAGGTGTCAGTTTTGTTGCCAGATAAAAGTGTAAAAAACAAAACAATTATCATTATTTGCTACTGGCAAATGAGGTTCCAATGGTGTAAATTCTTACCCCGAGCTCTCATACTCTGATGGTGCATTGCCTTTGAGTTGTGCGCCTTTTGGCGTCATCTGGTCCAACACCAGGGTGAGACTAGGCTCTCAGAAAAGCTGTCTCGGGTGTGGACCAATCATCTTTGAGTTGTGCGCCTTTTGGCGTCATCTGGTCCAACACCAATGGAGACTGGGCTCTAAGAAAAGCTGTCTCGGGTGTGGACTAAACAACTTCAAGGACAGTGCATATATCATTATCATCATCAGAGTTGTTTCTTTTTGTTTGCATTCTGACTGCTTGTGTTGTGGTTATTGCACACGAGGGGGTGGGTGGCAGAAACCACGCCCGGCCGCCTTTGTCTCCCTAGTGGCAATGTTTATACACCGCACCGGGTACTCATCTGAGGTTGAGTCGACCTAGGGGAGGCCCGGAACCGGTTCAGATAATCGTCACTGGTGTAGGCCGTGAGCGGGAATCGAACTCGGGTCACTGGGTTCGTAGCGCAGCGTAGCGCTAACTGCTGCACCACCGCTCCGCCGCTATTGCGAGTGACGTGGTGGTGGTGATGGTGGTGGCCGTGATGGTGACAGTGGTGATGGTGGTGACGGTGGTGACGGTGGTGATGGTGATGATGGTGGTGATGATGGTGGTGATAATGGTGATAATTGCAGTGATGGTGACGGCGGTGATGGTGATGATGGTGGTGATGATGGTACTCTCATTACGGTTATTCCACCCAGGGTGTTAATCAGGCGGAGACTGGCGGTGGAAAATGCTTTATTCGGCAGTCACGGTGACACCAACACGGTGACACCGTGTATACGTGTGTATACGTGTGCGCGTGTGTATACGTGTGTGCGCGTGTGTATACGCGAGTGTGCGTGTGTATACGTGTGCGCGTGTGTATACGTGAGTGTATACGTGAGTGCGCGTGTGTATACGTGAGTGTGCGAGTGCGCGTGTGTAGTGAGTTCTTATGGAGACGTCGTCGTAGAGGCAACACGGGTTGTCTGTTATCAACAATAACTCCCTGAACAATCCCTCCCTAGGGAGGTACAACATCCGGGCTTGTCAGTGACTTCTACTCTGCCCACTTAACCCTCAGCCCTCCGGCTCGCAGTGCCCTAGGGGAGGCTATCTGACCCGCCCCAGCCAAGGTGTCTCGACCACTGGTCCCAGCTCGACACGGCCCTGAGAAGGACGTCGGGCTCGAGGTTCCAGTGTCCTAGTCGAGCGGTCCTCAGTCTTCGTAGCAACTACCCCGAGTTGTACGCAGGTCACCCCTTTTTATACACCTCCAGAGGACCCTCCGCCCCTGGTACCGCCCCCTTTCTTCCAGAAGATCCTGGAAGGCCCCCTCCCAGCCCTCACCTGGGGTAGGGGAGGGAAACCCGCCTCTCTTGGGTCTGGCTCAGAGGTCGCAACCGGGAACCCGATACCCGTACCCTACCCGATACCCGGCTACCCGTATCCGGCCGGGTACGGGTAGACCGTGAGTCACTGGTGAGTAGCCGTCTGTCACTCATTTCGGGTAGGGTACGGGTACGGAACGGGTACCCGGCCGGGTACGGGTACCCGTTCCCTATCCGTACCCGTACCCTGCCGGGTACAGGTACCCATTTGCGACCCTGGTGCGGCCGGGTACGGGTACGGAATCAAAACCCGTTTTCGACCTCTGGTCTGGTTCCCTCTCATTCACCTTTGTACTCGCTGGCACACCCTGCCGACCTCTGGCTGCAACTGCAGGTCATTGGATACCGGCGGCATGTGCATACGCGATCCGACGCTACACGTGTATAAACGTGTGCGCGTGCCCTTGAAGCCCCACCAAAACAAAGCACCTGCCTGGGTTTTTTTAGGAGGGGCGGTGCGTCCGTACCTGGGCCGTTTGCTTGTTGACCGGCTCCGGTTTAGCAACGGGGAGGTCTCACTCCGGTTCGGTCGAGCGGCGTTACTTGTTTTTTTTTCATCGGCTGCGTAACGCCGCCGTGTGGAAGCTACCTGGCTCTGTTTCCCCGCACGAAGCTCCGCGTCTTCTTCGGCCAAGGTCATTCCCATGCTCGTAAAACGTGGAGCCCATTGAAATGAACACCTGCCTACGATCCTTCCTGGGCTTCACCGTGAGGCCGGATTGTCCGAGGCGCTCGCATATCCCTACAAGATCTGGACGCATTCCCCCACCATCAGCAATCTCCTCCGGCAGGCAAGGCTGGGGGCTGGGGGCTGGGGGCTGGGGGGGGGGGGGTAACAAAAATTTCAGGCCGTAACTTTGTAACTTATTTCTTAGTTAGAATATTAGTGGATCGGTGGCAAGCAAAGCTGAAGTGTCTTGTTTTGCATAATATTTTGTTGCAATAAAGTTCCTTAAGCCTTAAAAAATATATATATTCTGTAAATATGCAGAGTTTTTTGATGGAACTGACAAGATAAATTTAAATTAAAAATCGCATTGAAATATTAAGTCAAAACGCTTAAAATTCTCAGCCGTCATCAGCGGTAAGTGGCATTTTGGGAAGTCTTTGACAAGTGACACGTTAAATTCTTGTAGCCGCCTTCAAAAGACAAGAGAGTGGGGCAATTCTCAGAAATTAAAAAGCTTTGCTTCGACTTAATTGATCACCCGAGTTGGTACGAAAAAGGTACGAATAAAAATACCGCACTTTCGTATCGTGCCGTACCTGATGCAAAAAATATCGTAAAATAAGAACCAAAAAAATCCCACACCGTACCGTAATTTCAGACCGCACCGTATACTGCCACCGTTGCCGGCAGGTGAGGCTGTGTTGACCGGGTCATGTAGCCCGTATGCCCAGCCACAGCATGCCCTGGCAGCTTCTGTTTGGCTAGGTAGAGGGGGTGCTAAACGGGCGCGACACGGGCTAGCGAAGAGATGGAGTGACGCGGTACAGGAGGACGTGGAGCTGAGTGGACTTGCCAATGACTGGTACCAGCGGTGTCAAGATCAGCCTCTGTGGAGGAGGCTCGTGAAGGACGCTACTGGGCAGTTGGAGGCAGTTGCCCTCCAGCAACAACGGAGGGCGGAGGAGCGACGCTCACAACAACGAGCGGAGCGCCGGGCGGCTAAAACGCAGCAATTTGGCACAGCAGATACACAGCTGGTGCATCTGCCCATCATCTCCATAAACCCATAGCACCTGGGTCTGTCCAAGTGACCTCCTGCCAGCACCAAGAGCCTTCGACACTTCACGTGGCCTCGATGTGCACCCAGCCTGGCACAAACGTTGTGACGACAACGCTGCCACTAAGTGGCGAACGGTGGCTGTGTGAGTGGTGTACCATGTGCGCGTGTATACACAAGTGTGTGCGCACACGAGTTTGCTAATAGAAATAAAACTCTCCGTGTGGCGCCAGCCGCAACGAGCACACAGCGAGCTCACACCACGGCCTCCAGCGCGGGGGGCCAGCTCTGCATCACCACTCACGCCCCCCCCCCCCCCCCAGGGCCCCCTGACCCCCAACTGCAGGGCCCCGTGACCTCTAGAGCCCGGTCCCTCGGCCTCGCTCCCAAGGCCCCACCACCACCGCCCCCGACGCAGAGCCGATCGTCCGATGGACTAAAATATATCTTTATTTATTTATATCTGAAGAAGGCAAAAAAAAACAAATTTGAGTTACGCTTCTCATACAGCGCGCACCCAAGCCGTGACCTCACGAACCCCCAACTATGACCCCAAGAACCCCCAACCCCAAACAACTCGCCACAGCCCTAACCCCAAGTCCCCGCACGGCCCTGCCCACGAACCGGCCTCGTCCCCCATCGTCTCCTCGTCGTCGCGACGACCCCGGTGACCCCCGGTGACCCCCGGTGACCCCGGCCGCCTACAGAGCCCGCAACCCACGTGGCCGCGTGCGTCTACTGCCGCGCCGCTGATCCGTCGCTCCGAGCGCTGTCCCCGCCGCCGCCGGCGCCGTCCGCGCCGTCGCTCCGAGCGTCGTCGCCGTCCCCGGCAGCATCGGCGGCGCCGGCACCGCCGCCGGCGGCCGTGTCGCGCGCCAGGCTCTGCAGGGCGCGGTACTGCGCCTGCATGCGCGCCAGCTGCGAGCGCATGGCGCCCGCCTCACGGCTCAGCGCCGTCACCTCGGCCTGCAGGTGCGAGCGCTGCTCCTCGAGCACGGCGCGCTGCTCCGAGCGCTGCGCCCGGCAGTTGGCGGCGTAGCCGCGGTTCTTGAGCGTGCGCCGGCGCGTCTTCAGCCGCGCCGCCTCCTCGGGGCCCGCGGCGCGCAGACGCCGGTTCAGCTCGCGCACCGGCAGGGACAGCAGCTCCGTGTCGGAGATGGAGGGCGGCCCGCCGCCGGCGCCGCCGCCGCCGCCGCCGGGCAGGGCGCCGGAGGAGACGTCGCCGCGCCGCGGGGCCTGGGGGAGCGAGCGCGAGATGGGCGTGAGGTGCGTTGCTGCTTTGAGGTGACGGTCTCCGTCAGGTTTGAGGTTGAGGTGGCTGTCAGGGTCAGGGTTAGGTCAGGGTCAGGGTCTAGGTTAAGGTGACGGTCTCCGTCAGGGTTGAGGTTGAGGTGGCTGTCAGGGTCAGGGTTAGGTCAGGGTCAGGGTCTAGGTTAAGGTGATGGTCTACGTCAGGGTTTGGGTTTAGGCGAGGATCAGGGTTAGGGTCGAGGTGACTGTCAGGGTCAGGGTCTAGGTTAAGGTGATGGTCTACGTCAGGGTCAGGGTCTAGGTTAAGGTGATGGTCTACATCAGGGTTAGGGTTGAGGTGACTGTCAGGGTCAGGGTCAGGGTCTAGGTTAAGGTGATGGTCTACATCAGGGTTAGGGTTTGGGTTTAGGTGAGGATCAAGGTTCGGGTTGAGGTGACTGTCAGGGTCTAGCTTGAGGTGATGGTCTACATCAGGGTCAGGGTTTGGGTTAAGGTGAGGATCAAGGTTAGGGTCGAAGTCCCAGGCCACACCTTGCCAGAGCGATTTCCTTTCTTGCCGGAAGCGGCAGCCATGGCAATGCTGACCCGCACGGCGTCCTGGAAACGCGACACATCAACAACACAGACACATCAACAACACAAACACACAGACACACATCAACAACACAGACACACAGAGACACATCAACAACACAGACACACAGACACACATCAACAACACAAACACACAGACACACATCAACAACACAGACACACAGAGACACATCAACAACACAAACACACAGACACACATCAACAACACAAACACACAGACACACATCAACAACACAGACACACAGAGACACATCAACAACACAGACACACAGATCACACAGAGACACATCAACAACACAGACACACACAGAGACATCAACAACACAAACAACACAGACTATACAGAGACACATCAACAACATAGAGACACATCACACACAGAGACATCAACAACACAGACACACAGACCACACAGAGACACACAGACACAGAGACACGTTAACAACACAGACACACACAGAGACACACAGAGACACATCAACAACACAGACACACAGACCACACAGAGACATCAACAACACAGACACACAGAGACACACAGAGACACATCAACAACACAGACACACAGACACATCAACAAAACAGACACACAGACACAAAGACACATCAACAACACAGACACACACACAGACACATCAACAACACAGACACACAGACACACACAGAGACACACAGAGACATCAACAACACAGACACACACACAGACACATCAACAACACAGACACACAGAGACACACAGAGACACATCAACAACACAGACACACACAGACACATCAACAACACAGACACACAGACACACACAGAGACACACAGAGACATCAACAACACAGACACACAGACACACACAGAGACATCAACAACACAGACACACAGAGAGACATCAACAACACAGACACACAGACACAGAGACACATCAACAACACAGAGACATCAACAACACAGACACACACAGAGACACACAGAGACATCAACAACACAGACACACACAGAGACACATCAACAACACAGACACACAGACACAGAGACACATCAACAACACAGAGACACATCAACAACACAGACACACAGATCACACAGAGACATCAACAACACAGACACACACAGAGACATCAACAACACAGACACACACAGAGACACATCAACAACACAGACACACAGACACACACAGAGACATCAACAACACAGACACACAGACACACACAGAGACATCAACAACACAGACACACACAGACACACACAGAGACATCAACAACACAGACACACACAGAGACACATCAACAACACAGACACACACAGAGACACATCAACAACACAGACACACACAGAGACACATCAACAACACAGACACACACAGAGACACATCAACAACACAGACACACAGACACACACAGAGACATCAACAACACAGACACACACAGAGACACATCAACAACACAGACACACACAGAGACACATCAACAACACAGACACACACACAGACACATCAACAACACAGACACACACAGAGACATCAACAACACAGACACACATCAACAACACAGACACACAGATCACACAGAGAAACATCAACAACACAGACACACAGACACACACAGAGACATCAACAACACAGACCACACAGAGAGACACCAATAACACAAACACACAGAGACACACAGACACATCAACAACACAGATCACACACAGAGACACATCAACAACACAGACACACAGATCACACACAGACACATCAACAACACAGACACACAGATCACACACAGACACACAGATCACACACAGACACACATCAACAACACAGACACACAGATCACACAGAGAAACATCAACAACACAGACACACAGAGACATCAACAACACAGACACACATCAACAACACAGACACACATCAACAACACAGACACACAGATCACACAGAGAAACATCAACAACACAGACACACAGATCACACACAGAGACATCAACAACACAGATCACACAGAGAGACACCAATAACACAAACACACAGATCACACACTACACACCCTACACAAACACTGTACACACACAGTCTATACACACACAGTCTATACACACACACACCCTGTACACACACTACACACTCTTACACACACACACACCCTGCACACACACAGTCTATACACACACACACTACACACCCTTACACACACAGTCTATACACACACACACCCTGTACACACACACACACACTACACACTCTTACACACACACACCCTGTACACACACACTACACACTCTTACACACACACACCCTGTACACACACACTACACACCCTTACACACACAGTCTACACACACACACACCCTGTACACACACACACTACACACTCTTACACACACACACCCTGTACACACACACTACACACTCTTACACACACACACCCTGTACACACACACTACACACCCTTACACACACAGTCTATACACACACACACCCTGTACACACACTACACACTCTTACACACACACCCTGTACACACACACTACACACTCTTACACACACACACCCTGTACACACACACACACTACACACTCTTACACACACACACCCTGTACACACACACACCCTGTACACACACACACACTACACCCTGTACACACACAAACCCGACACACACACACCCTGTACACACACACACACTACACCCTGTACACACACAAACCCGACACCCACTGTACACACAGAGGTCACGCGGCTCGCGTGACTCAGCGAGACCACAGCCCCCCACACAGCCCCAAACTCCCCGTCTCGCCCAGGGGTAACACGGACCCCCTCGGAGAACCCCTCCATCCCCTCTCAGGGCACGGGTACCATCCCAGAGAGATACACCATCCCTATAGGAACCCCTCTTCCCACTACGCACCCCCCTAATCCCACCCGTTTGGAGACCCCTGTCCCTATAAGACCCCTGGCCCCCCTATCGAGCCCCCCCCCCCGTCCTATACAACCCCTCTCCAGCATCCCTATAGGAACCCCTATTCCCACTACACACCCCCCTAATCCCACCCGTTCGGAGACCCCTGGCCCCCCTATCGAGCCCCCCACCCCCCAGCCCTATACAACCCCTCTCCAGCATCCCTATAGAAACCCCTCTTCCCACTACACACCCCCCCTATCCCACCTGCACCCCCTTTACCCTTTCGGGGGTACCCCCTTCACCACGTTTTAGAGTGTAGGGGGGGGGGTGGTCGCACTTACACTCAAGACGATCTCCGCTGATGCCCCCCCCCCTGTCGATTTCCCTCCCCGCTCCCGACCCCCAAGCCTCCCCCTGCCGCCAAGGGACCCCCGAGGACCCCCTCCGGGACCCCTGAAGAGCAGCCCCTGGGTTAAGGGGGGGGGGGCAGTCGAACCCCCGCAGCGAACTTCAACCCCCAACCTCCGAGCACACGTGCGCGGTCAACCAACAAGGGGTGGTGGACTTCCTCGATTCTGGAATCGGATGCGGCTCGCGATTCGCGAATCGAACGCTCGCGCTGCGACACGGAGGGGAGGAGAGGGAATCGAATCGCGGCGTAAATCGGTTTGTCGATTCGCACGTTGGTGGCGAGTGGCGCTGGTGTGTGTTGAATCGACGAACTTCACGGAGTCGAATCGACGGTTCGCTGGAATCGACGAGTGGGGGAATCGCGGTCAGCTGTTCTTCGGTTGAGGTGAGGACCGCGTGGAGAGGTGGAGAGGTGGGGGGGGGGTCGATCTACTGCTGGGTGAGACGTGGGGGGCCGTGGGGGGCCGTGGGGGGGGGGGGGGTGGGGGGGGTGGGGGGGGGGCTGCTTGACCATATTTCACCACTGCGGTCAATCGATCATTACAAATGTTTGTTGTTGAAAGCTGTGGGGGGGGGGGGGTAAACTTTGAACATTGGGGGGCATAGTACAGTGCAGTAATTACAGTGCAGTGTGAATGACCACGTGGGGGGTGGGGTGGGGGTCTGGGCTGCCCCCACCCCCAGCCCACGTGACGAAGCCGATAGCACCTGGTATGCATCGCGGTGATATTGGCAGCTCCGTGTGTCTGTCGCTTCTCCCTCGCCACTGATGTCAGCCGTGCCCCCAGGGGGGTTGTTAACATTGCGTGCCTGTAACCGGCTTGTGTTGCCTATAAGCGGCTTGTGTTGCCTATAAACGGTTTGTGTTGCCTATAACCGGCTTGTGTTGCCTATAACCGGTTTATGTTTTGCCTAAAAACCGGTTTATGTTGCCTATAACCGGTTTATGTTTACTATAACCGGCTTATGTTGCCTATAACCGGCTTCTGTTGCCTATAATCGGTTTATGTTGCCTATAACCGTTTTATGTTGCCTATGAACGGTTTATGTTTGCCTATAACCGGTTTATGTTGACTATAACCGTTTTATGTTGCCTATATTCGGTTTATGCTGACTATAACCGGTTTATCTTGACTATAACCTGCTTATGTGGCCTATAACCTGCTTATGTTGCCTATAACCGGTTTATGTTGCCTATAACCGGTTTATGTTGACTATAACCGGTTTATGTTGCCTATAACCGGTTTATGTCGCCTATACCCGGATTATGTTGCCTATAACCTGCTTATGTTGCCTATAACCTGCTTATGTTGCCTATAACCGGTTTATGCTGCCTATAACCGGTTTATGTTGCCTATAACCGGTTTATGTTGCCTATAACCGGTTTATGTTGCCTATAAACGGTTTATGCTGCCTATAACCGTCTTATGTTGCCTATAACCGGTTTATGTTACTTATAACCGGTCTACGTTGCTTATAACCGGCTTTTACCAGGGTATAAAATGTAATTTTATAATTCTACGAGGTGAGGCGGTGGCACTGACCTGACTTTAACAAATGATAATCACAGCGGTAGTGACTTCTCATCATCGTCATCGTCGGCGCGTGGATTGTTTTTGTTTGTATAGCAGCAGCAGCAGCCGAATAACTCTAAGCGCACGGGTGATGTTGATTCATAAATGCGGAGAGGAAAAAACGGACGACCCCAGAGAAAAATCCAGCAGACGTCAGGGTCGGGATTGAACCCACGACCTCCTGTATACCAGGCGAGGTAGTTAACATCTTCTAGCCACCGTGGTGATGAGAGAGAAAGACACGCAAACTCCAAATATACAGCAGCAGACGTCGTCAGGGTCAGGATCGAACCCACGACCTCCTGTATACCTGGCAAGGTAGTTAACATCTCATAGCCACCGTGATGATAACGAGAGAGAGAGACACGCCAACTCCAAATATACAGCAGCAGGCGTCATCAGGGTCGGGATCAAACCCATGACCTCCTGTATACCAGGCGAGGTAGTTAACATCTCACCACGTAGAGAGATGCAAACTAGAAATATACAGCAGCAGGCGTCATCAGGGTCGGGATCAAACCCATGACCTCCTGTATACCAGGCGAGGTAGTCAACATCTCCTAGCCACCGTGGCGTCTTCAGTAGTGGTGATCAGTCGTGCAACGGCCAGCAGTGGTGCAATGGTGAACAGTTGTGTATGAGTGAGCAATCGTGTGGTGGTGAGCAGTGGTGCATGAGGAATGGTGTGGTGAGCAGTGGTGTGGCGGTGAGCGAATTGGACTCGCACGCCAGAGTGAACGCGGGTGGGGCTGGGTGGGGAGGGGCTGGGTGGGGAGGGTGGGGAGGGGCTGGGTGGGGGGGGGGTGGGAGGGGTGGGGCTGGGTGGGGAGGGTGGGGAGGGGCTGGGTGGGGAGGGTGGGGCTGGGTGGGGGGTGGGGCTGGGTGGGGAGGGGCTGGGTGGGGAGGGTGGGGCTGGGTAGGGGGTGGGAGGGGTGGGGCTGGGTGGGGAGGGGCTGGTCACCCCGTGGTGCCCTTATAAAACTCAACATTTAACCTACTCACGCCGGCTTGTGCCCGCCCTCACAGTCGGCCATATTTGCGGAATACACCACGCCGCCGTTGACCCTGGCCATTGACCGAGCAACCCAACGTTCCTACCAGCTCCCTCCGCGGGACAATGTGTTTTTAGCTAACCGAGTCACCGAGGGCAAATTGATCGTCACCATGCGGTGTGACTCAAGACCCCAGTGCGGTTTGAGCGTCCGCGGGGGTGCCGGAGCGTCGGTTCCGTTCATTTGCCGGCATCCCAACTGAAAGCGGCTCACCGCCACCACGAGAACCATCGCCTGTGAGCGTTGGACAACCTTTAGTTCGCAGTGGATAAGACCGTGGCCAATGATGATGATGGTGATGATGATGCCGAGGCCTTCATCCAGCTGTCGATAGACACGCTGTGGGTGTCTCTTAGTCACATCCGAACAAGACACCCCGAGTGGCCGAGCCCGCCGTGCCCTCTCTAGGTTGACTCAGCCTAAAGCGTCTCCCGCGGCCCCCTTGCAGGCGCTTTCCCTGACCCCCGGCCGTGAAAGGGAGCGACGGCGGCGGCGGTGGCCATGGATATCTTGGGTCGCCTGGTGAGGGGGGCCCTGTCGGCCGTGGCGCCGGGCCTGGCGGGCCCCCTGCAGGCTCGGGAGGTGACCCTGGCCGACTACCGCGGCCTGGAGGCCGTGGCGCGGGAGGGGAGTCTGACGCTGATGCGACTCGCCGGCTCCTGGGACGGCCTCCTGCAGCCGGGGCCTGGGGCCACGTCGGCACTCAGGTGTGTACACCACACACGCACGCACACACACGCCACCGTGTACACCACACACGCACACCGTGTACACCACACACGCACACACACACACGCCACCGTGTACACCACACACGCACGCACACACACGCCACCGTGTACAGTACACACGCACACACACACACGCCGTGTACACTACACACGCTCACACACCGTGTACACCACACACACACACGCCGTGTACACCACACACACACGCCGTGTACACCACACACACACACACCGTGTACACCACACACACACACGCCGTGTACACCACACACACACGCCGTGTACACCACACACACACACACACCGTGTACACCACACACACACCGTGTACACCACACACACACACCGTGTACACCACACACACACACGCCGTGTACACCACACACGCTCACACGCCGTGTACACCACACACACACACCGTATATACCACACACGCACACACCGTGTACACCACACACAACCGCGTGCGCTCACCGTGCCACCACCGCCGCGTCACCGCCCCCTGCCGTCTCCCCCCCGCAGATTGTTCCGCGTGTCCGGCGAGCCCGAGGCGCGCCGCCTGTTCGCGCTGCTCGCCGAGCGCGTCCTGCCGCTGGTGAGCGGCGGCGCCGGCGGCGCGGTGTGGCCGGGCGGCGCCGGCGCTGGGCCGGCCGCCTCGGCGCAGCGCGTGCTGGACGCCCTTCGCGAGCACCCCGAGTGGACGGCGGCGCACCTGGCGGCGCACGTCGGCCTGGTGCACGCCTTCCGGCACAACGCCGTCCTCAGGTAGCTGGTCGGCACGCCGGCCTAGTGCACGCGTTCCGGCACAACGCCGTCCTCAGGTAGCGGTGGCCGCGGGGAGCCGTTGGTCGGCACGCCGGCCTGGTGCACGCCTTCCGGCACAACGCCGTCCTCAGGTAGCGGCTGTCGCGGGGAGCCGATGGTCGGCACGCCGGCGCCGCCGCCGATCTCCCAATGTTCCTCCTCCGTTGCCGCGTTCGCGTCGCCTCGATCGCAAGGCCTCGTCCTGGACGATAGGTTTCGTGTCCGCGTCGTCACGGTGGCTAGGAGACGTTAACTACCTCGCCTGGTGTGCAGGAGGTCGTTGGTTCGATCCCGACCCTGGCGCCTGCTGCTGCTGTATATTTGGAGTCTGCGTGTCTCTCTCTCTCTCATCATCATCACGGTGGCTAAGAGATGTTAACTACCTCACGTGGTATGCAGGAGGTCGTGGGTTCGATCCCGACCCTGGCGCCTGCTGCTGCTGTATATTTGGAGTCTGCGTGTCTCTCTCTCTCTCGCGTGGATTTTTCCCCGGGTCCCTCCGTTTTAGTTTTTTTTCCCCTCCGCAGACGATTTGGCCGCGATAAATTTCCACGCGATAAGCCGCTTCGTTGAGCTCCCGTTTCACGACGGCGAGCTGGTCGCTTCCGGGAAACGGCAGCTCCGTAGCTCAGCGGGACCTGACGCGCGGTCAAATAACAAAGCAACCGTCTGATTGTCGGGCGGCGGAGTGTTTCGACGGCAACGAGCCGCACGGCGTCGCTCATCGTCGTCGCGCTCCGGCTCGCAGGGACGTGGAGAGCGGCGCCGGCGGAGCGACGCCGCTTGTGGTGGCGGTGAGCGCCGGGGAGCTCGCCTGCGCCTCCGAGCTGCTGGCGTGCGGAGCGCGCGTCGACACGCGGGACGCGCGCGGGGACACGGCACTGCACCTCGCCGCCCGCCGCACCGACCCCGCCCTCCTGCAGGTGCGACGCGCTGCGCGGCACGCGGCACGACGCGGCACGCGGCACGCGACACGACGCGCCGTGCGGCACGGTTATGGAAAGCTTCGGGGCCACTTCCCGGAGTCGTGGAGTTCTGCCATTACGAGTACGTTTCAATGAAGCGTGTTTAAAAAAAAAGTAAAAAAAAAAATATTACTTATTAAATGGAGGCCACGGACTGCGCCACGGAGCTTTTAGCGGTAAACAAGGCACCACCGTATTTACTGGGTAATACTTCACGCTTCCTTTACCCTACCGGGTAATTCTTCCGAGCTACCTTTACCCTGTACCCTTTACCTTACCCCTTGGCATGTCGACACCTTTACCCTTTTACCCAGTCAAAAGGGTAAGTTACCTTCCCTTGCCGAGGCCTAGCTAACGGCGCGTCTCGCCGCGCGGCACAGTGTCTGTGCGAGGCGGCGCACGGCACGCTGGACGGGCCCAGCGGCGCCGGCGAGACGGCGCTGCAGGAGGCCTGCCGGCTGGGCCGCGAGGACGCCGCTCGCGTCCTGCTCCTCGCCGGGGCCGGCACGGCGGGGCCCGGCACGGGGGGGCCCGGTGCGGGGGGGCCCGGCGCGGGGGAGCACGCGGTGCACACCGCCCTGCGGCACGACCAGATCGGGTGCCGTGACTCCCCACGTGACACGTGGCACACACGCACGCGCACACACACACGCACGCGCGCACACACGCACGCACACACATGCACACGCACACGCGCACGCACGCGCGCACACACGCGCACGCACGCGCACACACACGCGCACGCACACACACGCGCACACACACACGCGCACGGTGTACACCGCACGCCCCGTGTGGCCTTAACGGACTGTTGGGGCAAGTGCTGTTAGCGAGCACCTATGAAGGCCGGCACGGCACACGAGGGGGTGGGTGGCCAGCACCACGCCCGGCCGCCTTTGTCTCCCTAAGTGGCGATGTTTACACGCCGCACCAGGTATTGATTTGAGGCTGAGTCGACCTAGGAGAGGCCCAGGACCGGTTTATATAACCGTCACCGGTGTTGGCCGTGAGCGGGGAATCGAACTCGGGTTCGCAGCCGGGATCGCGGTGCAGCGTAGCGCTAACCGCTGCACCACCGCTCCCCACAGAGACCCACAGCTAACCGCCCACACACCTTACACACACAATGTATATAATTCAGCGCATGTGTGTACACGTAGGTGTGTGTGTGCATGCGTGTGCGTACGCGTGTGCGTACGCGTGTGTGTGTGTCAGGGGGGACAGTTTCTGTGTACGAGTTGGCACAGTAGGGGGGGTACAGCTGGTGGTGCATCTACCAGTGGTCATCTCAGTCAGCCAACCCATGGCACCTGCTGGGTCTGTCACGTGACCTCCTGTCGGCAGCGAGCCTTCGACACTTCACGTGGCCTCAAAGTGCACCTGGCCTGGCACAGGCGTCGTGACGACGTCACCGTCGCTTCGCGTCGAATGGCGGGTGTTGGTATATTGGTGTGTGTGTACGCGCGTGTGTGTGTGTGCGTGTGTGCATGCGTGTGTGCGTGCGTGTGTGTGTGTGCGTGTGTGTGTGTGCGTGTGTGTGTGCGTGTGTGTATGCGTATGCGTGTGTGTGCGTGCGTGTGTGCGTGTGTGTGCGTGTGTGTGTGTGCATGTGCATGCGTGTGCGTGTGTGTGCGTGTGTGTGCGTGTGTGCGTGCGTGTGCGTGTGCGCGTGCGCGTGTGCGCGGGTGCGTGTGTGTGCGTGTGTGCGTGTGTGTGTGTGTGCGTGTGCGTGCGTGTGTGCGTGCGTGTGCGTGCGTGTGTGTGTGTGCGCGTGTGTGCGTGTGTGTGTGTGTGCTCATGCAGCTGTGTGGAGCTGCTGCTGGATCTGCGCGAGGATCAGCTGGACGCACGCGACGCCAAACACGGAGGCTCGCCCATGCACTGGGCCCGCAGCGCACAGGTGCGTGTACTCACTCTGCGTGTGTACTCACTCTGTGTGTACTCACTCTGCATGTACTCACTCTGCGTGTGTACTCACTCTGCGTGTACTCACTCTGCATGTACTCACTCTGCGTGTGTACTCACTCTGCGTGTACTTTCTCTCTCTGTACACACTCTCCGTGTACTCTGCGTGTGTACTCACTCTGCGTGTGTACTCACTCTGTGTGTACTCACTCTGCGTGTGTACTCACTCTGCGTGTGTACTCACTGCACGTGTACTCACTCTGCGTGTGTACTCACACTGCGTGTACTCACTCTGCGTGTACTCACTGCACGTGTACTCACACTGCGTGTGTACTCACTCTGTACTCACTGCACGTGTACTCACTCTGCGTGTGTACTCACTCTGCGTGCAGGCGGTGCGTCTGCTGGCGGCGCGGGGCGCTGCGCTGGAAGCGCGCAGCCGCAGCGGGGACGCGCCGCTGCACGCGATGGCGCGCAAGCGGCGGCACGAGGCGGCGCTGGCGCTGCTCACGCAGGGGGCGCAGGCGGAGACACGCGGCGCTCACGGAGACACGCCGCTGCACATCGCCATGCGGGTACGCAGCCACGCGCCCGGGGTCTACGCAGGGGACTCGCTCCACGCACTACACACGATGCACACGACGTGCGGTTCGTAGATGCGTGCGACACGCGTGTGACACACGTGCGACACGCGTGTGTGACACCCGCGGCGCTGTGCGTGGCTGTAGCTGGACCATCTGGAGATGATCAAACCGCTGATCGTGTTCGGAGCTCAGATGGATTCCACCAACGACGACGGAGAGACCCCCGGGCTCCTGCTGGCTCGCAACAGCAGCGGTACCCCCGCCCCCCCAGTACCCCCCCCAGTACCCCCCCCTCGAACCCCCCCAGTACCCCCCCCACACTCCCTCCCCCTATCCCTCCCCTCCCGCACTCCCTCCCTCTCTCTCCCTCTTCCTCCCCTCCCTCTCTCTCCCTCCCTCCCTCCCACCCCTACCTCCCTCCCCCACTCCACCCCTCCCTCTCCCTCTCTCTCCCTCCCTCCCCCACTCCCCTCCCTCCTCCACTCTACCCCTCCCTCTCCCTCCCTCCTCCACTCCACCCCTCCCTCCCACCCCTCCCTCCCCCACTCCCTCCCTCCCGCACTCCATCCCCTCCCTTCCTCCTCCTCTCTCTCCCTTCCCTCCCCCACCCCCTCCCTCCTCCACTCCACCCCTCCCTCCCCTCCCTCCCTCCCCCACTCCCCTCCCTCCCCCACTCCACCCCTCCCTCCCTCCCCCACACCCCTCCCTCCCCCACTCCACCCCTCCCTCCCATCCCTCCCTCCCCCACACCCCTCCCTCCCCCACTCCACCCCTCCATCTCTTGGCAAATTAGACTCCTATCCTGGCCTCTGGACTCGTCACCTGGTTCCACAAAATCGACGTGAACTTGATATCATCATTATTATTATTTATTATCAATAATAATAATTATTATAATAATTATCATTATATATCATCATTATTTACCTATTTAAGCAGGAGCGCCACACTGATATTTTCGGCGAGCAGCGACGAGCTGTTCTTGCGATCCACGCCGGCGCAAACCGACCGGAGCACCCGGAGACAACCCCACGCCTCGCGCGAGGGGGCAACGCTCTATCCCCCGCGGCACAGATGGAATCAACGGGCGGAGGCCGGTCCGCTTTCCGCACCGGCTTCTCCCGGCGAGCCGGGCTACGTCTCCCCCTCGACGCCCACCCACCAGCCCTCGCCCTCGCAGCGTAGTGACCACCGCCGCCCCGTTGACGTTGCCGTTGCCGTTGCCGTGCCGTTTCTAGGTGGGAACCGCCCCGTGCTCATGGAGATGCTGCACAGCGTGGGGGTCACGCGGTGCTTCCCTCCCGGGTCGGCCCCCCCGGCCTCGCCCGCCTCCTCGGCGTCGACCAGGCCCGGGATCCCGGCCCGGCCTCCCCCGCCCAGGCAGAGACCGCCGCGGCCCCTGGGTGAGAGGCGGCGGGCGCCGCCGATCGCTCGGCCACCACTCGCCGGTTCACTCGCCGGGGCAGCGTCCGAATGCAGCAGAGGCTCAGCGCGGAACGCACCCATCAATATAACGGGGAACGCGCATGACGTCATAACGCCGAACGCGCGCGCCCTTATAATGCTGGAACGCGCGCTGTTATAACGCAACACGCACGATGCGCTTCTGCGGCCGTCTGGAACGTTCTTCCCTTCCGATATTAGCAAGCCAGCGGAGCTGCGCAGTTATAAATCATCATCATCATCATCTAGATGGACGAAACTAATTTCTTTAGAACTTCTTTTTGCGTTCGGTTTGTTGCTACGTGCAACAGAAGTTCAACCTTCACACACACGGACAGCACCCAGGTGATCCTCGCAAACGAGACTCTCCATCCCGCGCTGCCCAGTTCTCAGCCGCTGGAACGATGCGAACGTGGAACTCTGCGTGCCCCCCCCCCCACCGCAGGCTTTGATGACGTGGTCGCCATGGCGACGGTGATGGCTCCCATGCTGGACGTGACGGACGGGCCGCCCCCTCAGCAGCGGTGCGTCACCGTGGCAACGCTCGCGGCCACAGCAGTCCCACCCTTCCCCCCCCCCCCCTCGTGCCGCGTGTCTACGTCTCTGTGTGTCTACGTCTCTGTGTGTCTCCGTGTCCCCCTGTCCACTTATCACCTGTATCCACATGTACCCGTGTCCCATTTCTTGTGCCCTCATGTCCATGTGTCCCATGTCCACGTGTCCCACGTCCCCGTGTCCCCGTGTCCCCGTGTCCCACGTCCCTGTGTCCCGTGTCCCACATCCCCGTGTCCCACGTCCCCGTGTCCCGTGTCCCACATCCCCGTGTCCCACGTCCCCGTGTCCCCGTGTCCCACGTCCCCGTGTCCCCGTGTCTCACGTCCCCATGTTCCCATGTCCCACGTCCCCACGTCTCACGTCCCCGTGTCTCACCCCCCCACGTCCCCGTGTCCACGTGTCCCCGTGTCCCCCGCGGTGCAGGCGTGAGCGCGTGCTGAGCCTGGACGGCGGAGGGATCCGCGGCCTGGTCCTCATCCAGATGCTGCTGGCGCTGGAGAGGGAGAGCGGCCGCCCCGTGCGGGAGCTCTTCGACTGGGTGGCGGGCACCAGCACGGGCGGCATCCTGGCGCTGGGCATCGTGCACGGTGCGGGCGCCAGCGCGGGGACTTCACTCACGAGCACTCACGCACACGCGCTCTCGCTCGCCCCGTGTGTCCCCACGTGTCTCCGTATCTCCCCGTGTGCCCGTGCGTGTCCCCGTAACTCCCCACGTGTCCCCCACGTGTCCCCCACGTGTCCCCGTAACTCCCCACGTGTCCCCCACGTGTCCCCCACGTGTCCCTGTAACTCCCCACGTGTCCCCGTTTCTCCCCGTGTCCCCGTGCTTGTCCCCGTGTGTCCCCCACGTGTCCTCGTATCTCCCCGTGTCCCCGTGCGTGTCCTCGTGCGTGTCCCCACGTGTCCCCATATCTCCCGTGGGTCCGTACGTGTCCCCGTAACTCTCCACGTGTCCCCGTAACTCCCCACGTGTCCCCGTGCGTGTCCCCGCGTGTCCCCCCCCCACGTGTCCCCCGCGCGCCAGGCAAGTCGCTGGGCGAGCTGCGGGCGCTGTATTTCCGCATGAAGGACGAGGTGTTCCGGGGAGGGCGCCCCTACGACTCGGCGCCGCTCGACAGCTTCCTCAAGCGCGAGCTCGGCGAGCACACCAAGATGACGGACGTCACGCACCCCAAGTGACCACGCGCTGCACGCTCGCTCGAGCCCGTCACGCGCGTCGCAAGCCACACGCGTCACAATCCGCACACACACGCGTCACGCATCGCACACACATGCGTCACACTCGCGTAGCGCACACACACTTGTCACACGCACTTTACACTCACGCGTGTCACATCGCACGTCACACGGCGTCACACGTCACGCTCTCGTCACGCCACACACGCACGTGTCACACGCACGTGTCACACGCGCGTGTCACACTCGCGTAGCGCACACACACTCGTCACACGCACTTGCTCATGCGTCACACACACAAGCCACAAACACGTATCACTCACCCATACGAACTCAACGCACCTCCTGTGTTGTGTGTGTGTATGCACGTGTTGCGTGTGTGTGGGGAGCGGTGGTGTAGCGGTTAGCGCTACGCTGCGCTATGAACCTGGCGACCCGAGTTCGATTCCCGCTCACGGCCACCAACACCGGCGACGATTATTTGAACCGGTCCTGAGCCTCCCCTTAGGTCGACTCAGCCTCAAATTAGTACATTCTGTGATGTGTAAACATCGCCACTAGCGATACAAAGGCGGCCGGGCGTGGTCTGGCCACCCACCCTCGGCCTTCACAGGCGCTACTCGCTAACAGCACTTGCCCCTACAGTCTGTTGAGGCTACACGGGGGATTTTTGTCTTTGTTGCCGTGTGCAGGGTGTTGGTGACGGCTGTTCTGGCAGATAGACACCCGGCAGAGCTGCACCTCTTCCGTAACTACACACCGCCAACAACAACCACTACCACACCGCCAGCCTCACCCTGCCACTCGCCCAGCGAGACGTTCCAGGCGCTCACCCCTCCCAGCGGTACCACTCAGCACTCACCACTCACCACTCACCGCTAATCACTCACCACTCACCACTCAGCACTCACCACTCACCGCTAATCACTCACCACTCACCACTCAGCACTCACCCCTCATCACTCGCCACTCACCGCATGCCACTGGCCACTCACCACTCGCCACTCACCACTCACCACTCACCGCTCACCACTCACCCCTCATCACTCACCACTTGCCACACGCCTCTCACCACTCACCGCTCACCACTCAGCACTCACCACTCACCGCTCACCACTCATCACACGCCACTCACCACTCACCGCTCACCACTCACCCCTCATCACTCACCACTTGCCACACGCCACTCACCACTCACCGCTCACCACTCAGCACTCACCACTCACCGCTCACCACTCATCACACGCCACTCACCACTCACCGCTCACCACTCACCCCTCATCACTCACCACTTGCCACACGCCACTCACCACTCACCACTCACCGCTCACCACTCACCCCTCATCACTCACCACTTGCCACACGCCTCTCACCACTCACCGCTCACCACTCAGCACTCACCACTCACCGCTCACCACTCATCACACGCCACTCACCACTCACCGCTCACCACTCACCCCTCATCACTCACCACTTGCCACACACCACTCACCACTCACCGCTCACCACTCAGCACTCACCACTCACCGCTCACCACTCATCACACGCCACTCACCACTCACCGCTCACCACTCACCCCTCATCACTCACCACTTGCCACACGCCACTCACCACTCACCGCTCACCACTCAGCACTCACCACTCACCGCTCACCACTCATCACACGCCACTCACCACTCACCGCTCACCACTCACCCCTCATCACTCACCACTTGCCACACGCCACTCACCACTCACCGCTCACCACTCACCCCTCATCACTCACCACTTGCCACACGCCACACGCCACTCACCACTCACCGCTCACCACTCACCACGCCACTCACCGACTCGCCACTCACCACTCACCAACCAGCACTTACCACTCACCACTCACCGCACCTCACCACGCCCACCGTGTGCCCCCCCCACCGTCTCGCGTCTCCCCCACGCCCCCCGCGTTTGTTCCCCCTGAACGTTCCTCCCCTCCGCCCCCCCCCCGCCCCCCCCCGCCCACCCCCCCGCCCCCCCCGTGCCCCCCCCCCGTGCCACCCCCCCGTGCCCCCTCCCCCCGAGTAGAGCAGCTGGTGTGGCGTGCGGCGCGCAGCAGCGGGGCGGCCCCCACCTACTTCCGCCAGATGGGGCGCTTCCTGGACGGGGGCCTCCTGGCCAACAACCCCACGCTCGACGCACTCACCGAGCTGCAGCAGCACCGGGCGCAGCAGCAGCAGCAGCAGCAGCAGCAGCAGCAGCAGCAGCAGCAGCAGCAGCAGCAGCAGCAGCAGCAGCAGCAGCAGGTGAGGAGCCTGTCCCCAGCCCCCACCAGCGTGTCGCCGCGTGTCTGTGTCACCCCCCCCCCCCCCCGTGTCTCCGTGTGTCGCCCCCCCCCCCCCCGTGCCTCCGTTCTGCCCCCCCCCGTGTCTCCATCTGTCTCCCCACATCTCCATGTGTTCCCCCGTGTCTCCGCCTGCCCCCCCCCCCGTGTCTCCGTTCTGCCCCCTCCCCCGTGTCTCCATCTGTCCCCCCGTGTCTCCGTCTGTCTCCCCACATCTCCGTCTGTCCCCCGTGTCTCCGTCTGTCCCCCCGTGTATCCCGTGTATCCTGTGTCTCCGTATCAAGGTGGCACCTGGCTCTGCCATTACGCCGCGGTGGCTAAGAGATGTTAACTCCCTCGCCTGGTACGCAGGAGGTCGTGGGTTCAATCCACCCACCCCCTCGTGCGCCGTGACGGCCTTCGCAGGTGCCGCTCGCTTAACAGCCCCAGCAGCCCCAGCAGTCTGTTAGGGCTACACGGGGGAGCTTTGTCTTTGTGTGCCGCAGGGTTGCGCGGCCCCGCTGCGGGCCGTGGTGCTGTCGCTGGGCACGGGGCGGCCCCCGCGGGAGCGCGTGAGCTCGGCGGACGTGTTCCGCCCCACCAACCCCTGGCAGCTGGCGCAGAGCGTGATCGGAGCGCGGGAGCTGGGCCGCCTCATGGTGGACTGTGTACGACGCGCACGCTCACTCACCCGCTCGGCCGCTCGCTCGCCCGCCCTCTCGCTCGCCCACCCTCTCGCTCGCCCGCCCACTCGCCCTCTCGCTCGCCCGCTCGCTCACCCTCTCGCTCGCTCAATCGCTCGTACAGAATCGGAATCAGAATATTTATTGGCACTGCCTGAATCCGATGAGCTATAAAGCTCTTTTTCACAGGCGGCTAGTCGGGCCGGGACAGAACTTTACCACCCACGCTCACCACGCTCACCACGCTCACCACGCTCACCACGCTCGCTCACACGCTCACCACGCTCACCACGCTCACCACGCTCACCACGCTCGCTCACACGCTCACCACGCTCACCACGCTCACCACACTCACCACGCTCGCTCACACGCTCACCACGCTCACACACTCACAACGCTCGCTCACACGCTCACCACGCTCGCTCACACGCTCACCACGCTCACCACGCTCACCACGCTCACCACGCTCGCTCACACGCTCACCACGCTCACACACTCACAACGCTCGCTCACACGCTCACCACGCTCACCTCACACGCTCACCACGCTCGCTCACACGCTCACCACGCTCACCACGCTCACCACACTCACCACGCTCGCTCACACGCTCACCACGCTCACACACTCACAACGCTCGCTCACACGCTCACCATGCTCACCACGCTCACACGCTCAACACGCTCGCTCACACGCTCACCACGCTCACACGCTCACCACGTTCACCACGCTCACCACGCTCACCACGCTCACCACGCTCAACACGCTCGCTCACACGCTCACCACGCTCACCACGCTTGCTCACACACTCACCACGCTCGCTCGCTTGATCGCTCACACGCTCAAATGTTCGCTCGCTCGCCCTCGCTCAATCTCTCACACTCCTCGTGTCTCCGCGTGTCTCCGTCTGTCCCCTCGTGTCTCCGCATGTCCCCTCGTGTCTCCGCGTGTCTCCTCGTGTCCCCACGTGTCCCCACGTGTCCCCACGTGTCCCCACGTGTCCCCACGTGTCCCCTCGTGTGCCCACGTGTCCCCTGTGCAGTGCACGGACGCGGAGGGGCGCCCTGTGGACCGGGCCCGGGCCTGGTGCGACTCCCTGCAGGTTCCCTTCTTCCGGTGCGACTCCTGGCCCTGGCGACACTCACCACAGTCACCACACTCACCACGCTCACCACGCTCACCGCAATCACCACACTCACCACGCTCACCACACTCACCACGCTCACCACGCTCACCACACTCACCACGCTCACCACACTCACCACGCTCACCACGCTCACCGCAATCACCACGCTCACCACTCTCACCACACTCACCACGCTCACCATGCTTACCACGCTCACCACGCTCACCGCAATCACCACGCTCACCACCCTCACCACACTCACCACGCCCACCGCAGTCACCACGCTCACCACTCTCACCACGCTCACCACGCTCACCACACTCACCACGCTCACCACTCTCACCACGCTCACCACGCTCACCACGCTCACCACTCTCACCACTCTCACCACGCTCACCACGCTCACCACAGTCACCACGCTCACCACAGTCACCACGCTCACCATGCTCACCACGCTCACCACGCTCACCACTCTCACCACGCTCACCACAATCACTGCTATGTGTGTGAGTGCTATGTGTGTGTGTGTGCGCGCGTGTGTGTGTGTGCGTGTATGAGTGTGCTATGTGTGTGTGCTATGTGTGTGTGTGTGCTATGTGTGTGTGTGCGTGTATGAGTGTGCTATGTATGTGTGTGAGTGTGCTATGTGTGTGTGCTCTATATGTGTGTGCTCTGTGTGTGTGTGTGCGTGTGTGAGTGTGCTATGTGTGTATGAGTGTGCTGTGTGTGCTGTGTGTGTGTGTGTGTGTATGAGTGTGCTCTGTGTGTGCTGTATGTGTGTGTGTTTGCGCCGTGTGCGTGCTATGTGTGTATGTGCGTGTGTGAGTGTGCTATGCGTGTGTGTGTGTGCTGTATGTGTGTGCGTGTGTGTGTGTGCTCTATGTGTGTGTGTGTGCGCTGCGTGCGCGTGCAGGCTGAGCCCGCAGCTGCGTGAGGACGTGGCGCTGGACGAGGTGCGCGATGCGGTGCTGGTGGACGCGCTGTGGGACACGCAGGTCTACCTGCACTCGCAGCGCGCACAGCTCGCCCGCCTCGCACGACTCCTCACCGCCGACACGGACGCCCCGTGACCTCACCGCTGCCACCAAATCCCGGTGACCTCGCCAGCGCCACCGACTCCCCGCGACCTCGTCGCTCGCCTCGCCCACCACCACCACCCACACTCGTGCCTCGTCATTGCACCCCAGAGCCCCGTGACCTCTCACCTCTCACCTCTCACCTCCCCTCTCCTCCTCACCTCCTCACCGGACACCCTCATCCGTCACGTGACCATGCAACTACTGCTGTGGGCCGCCAGTGCAGCGCGCGGTGGCAGCAAGGGTGGTGCTGGTGGTGGTGGTGCTGGTGGTGGTGGTAGTGCTGGTGGTGCTGGTGGTGCTGGTGGTGCTGGTGGTGCTGGTGGTGCTGGTGCAGAGGTCGCAAATAGGTTTTGATTCCTTACCCGTACCCGGCCGCACCAGGGTCGCAAACGGATACCCGTACCCGGCCGTACCCGTACCCTACCCGTACCCAGCCGGGTACAGGTAGGGTACGGGTATCGGGTACCTGATTGCGACCTCTGTGCTGGTGCTGGTGGAGCTGGTGGTGGTGGTGCTGGTGCCGGTGGTGGTGGAGGGGGGGGGTGCCACCCATCTTGTTTTCCCCAGGGGGTTGTCTCCTCGTCGTGGAGGAGGCAGCAGCTCCGCTCCCGGGAGATCTCTGCCTCCTCCCGGGAGACCTAAAGAGGGTTTTTGTGCCGAGGGTTGGCAAATCACTCGCGCGCCAGCTCCTGGAATTCCCAACAGGCGAGCCCCTGCACAAAGGGCGCTAGCGGAACCGGCGGCACCGCCGGCAATGAATTGCCCAAGTTCTGCGGTCCCGTGCTGTGGTTGCGCGGCCAGCCCCATTCGTCACGTGCGCCGGGGAAAATCCACGCCTTGCGCGAGGGGAGCAACGCTCTATCCCCGCGCTGGAGATAGATTAGTCCACGCACTTTTCCGTCCGCGTCTGTCCCCTCCTCGACGCCCACCCACGCGTAGAAGGGTGGGGAGTTCCACAGCCCCATCCGCGTGCGATCCATCAACCCTCGCCGCTGCCTCCACGGCAGAGGTCGCAACCGGGTACCCGATACCCGTACCCTACCCGATACCCGGCTACCCTACCCGATACCCGTACCCTACCCGATACCCGTACCCTACCCGATACCCGTACCCTACCCGATACCCAGCTACCCTACCCGATACCCGGCTACCCTACCCGATACCCGTACCCTACCCGATACCCGCACCCTACCCGATACCCGGCTACCCTACCCGATACCCGTACCCTACCCGATACCCGGCTACGGGTACGGGTAGCCGTTTGCGACCCTGGTGCGGCCGGGTACGGGTAGGGAATCAAAACCCGTTTGCGACCTCTGCCCCCCGCCCGCAGCCCCCCGCGAGTTTGGCGGCAGGAATGAAGCCGCCCTCCGTGGCCGCCGTGAGCCCGTGAGGGTGACCGTGGCATTATGGGTAGATCCCTAATCTGATGGAAGCCCCTCCACCTCCGCTCACTTGACACTCGTCACTCGGCCGGCCGATCGGCTGAGCCGCGGTGAGCTGACGCGCGCCGGGGGGGGCCGGGGGGGGGGGGGCGACGGGGGAGGGAGGGGGGTCAGGGCGGGGGGCACTGTCCCCTCTCCGTGGGGGGGGGGCGGTGTTTGTGTGACGTCACCGCTGCGCACCCGCGAGACCCGAGACCCTTGGTTTCAGGTCGTGGACCGGCGGTCCCTGGCCTCCTCCTCCTACCCCTAGATCGACTCGGCCTTAATTCTCTACCTGGCGTGGTGCGTAGTAAAGTAAACGTAAGTGAAGTGTAAAAAAAAAACTTGATCAGAACTGGGGAGACAAAGGCGGCCGGGTGTGGTGCTGGCCACGGAACCCCTCGTGCGTTGTCTCAGCTGCTACGCGCTAAAACAGCACTTGCCCCAAGACCCTGTGTGGGCTACACGGGAAGGGGTGGAATCTTTGTCTTTGCTTGTGTTGTTGTTGTGGTTGTTGTTGTGTGTTTATTCAATTGTTGCTAATAATTGTTTATTTGATTTTGTGTTGCCCGGCGAAAATCTGCTGCAGATGTGTGGAATAGCGGGTGAGTGGGCGGATGGGTTGGGTGAGTTGTAGATTGGTGGAGGGGTGAGTTGTAGATGAGTAGGTGAGCGGGTGAGCGAGTGAGCGGGTGAGCAAGTGAGCGGGTGAGCGGGTGAGCGGGTGAGCGAGTGAGCGGGTGAGTTTGGCAGCTGGGTTGTGGGCGAGCGAATGAAGAACATGGTTGTTCGCGTGGGTGGATGATTGCGAGTAGGAGTGGGTGAGCGGGTGGGTGAGCGGGTGGGTGAGCGGGTGGGCGAGTTGTGAGTAGGTGGGTAAGTTGCGCAGAATGGAGGAGTCTCGTGAAGGACGCTGCTACTACTGGGCAGTTGGAGGCAGTCGACCTCCAACAACAACGGAGGGCAGAGGAGCGACGCTCACAACAACGAGTGGAGCACCGGGCGGCTAAAATGCAGCAAGTTGACACAGTTGGGGGTACAGCTGGCAGTGCATCGGCCACTCATCTGAGTCGGCCAACCCATTGGCACCTGCTGGGTCTGTCCCGTGACCTTCCGTCAGCGAGCCTTCGGCACTTGACGTGGCCTCAAAGTGCACCTGGCCTGGCACAGTCAATATTGGCATTGAGTGCACACAGATGAGTGGGTGAGTAGGTGGGTGAGTGCACACAGATGAGTAGATAGGGTGGGTGAGTAGGTGGGTGAGTGCACACAGGAGTAGATCGGGTGGGTGGTGGGTGAGCGGGTTACGTAGCGAGTGAGCCGGTTGGCTGGGTGATCGTGCGAGCGGCGAATTTTTTTTTTTTCAACCCTCTTTCATTCCTCCCGGACCGCCCGTGCCGTGTCGTGCCGACGAACGCCACGGGCCTCGCGTGTTCTCCTCCTACACCTCGCCTGAATAAAGCTCCGGTACATCGCAGCAGTTTCAGCAGCTCCAGCGGCCGTGTTCCCTCCCCGCGCCGCCTGTAGCCGTCCCAAAGCTGCGGCGCTTTGGTAGCGGCAACGGGCTCGTTGAACGGGTGTCCCGACACGAGCGGCTGGGTCACTGCCGTCGCTTTGATTCCCTCGGTTGACTCCTCCTGCTTGCCTGTCGCACTCTCGTAACGAGCATGCGCGTGTTGTGGCGTCACCCCACCACCGACCCCACCACCGACCCCACCACCATCCCCGGTCTCGTAGACTGGGCAAGCAAAAGTCGACTCGAGTTGTCTGTATTCCCATTGGTGGAGAGGCGGCTACGTCACAGTCGGGTTGCACGTGGTTCACACCCCACCCACCACCCCACCCACCACGGCCACCCACCACCGCCACCCCACCCACCACCACGGCAACCCGCCACCCCACCCACCCACCACCGCCACCCCACCCACCATTGCCATATACAGCAGCAGGCGTCGGGGTCGAACCCACGACCTCCTGTGTACCAGGCGAGGTAGTCAACATCTCCGAGCCGCCGTGGCGCGCATCCCCACGACTCAACACGGGCAGCAGCACCACGGGGACGTCGCTCGCAAACACAAAACACGGCAGCAGCAGCATCACGCGGAGACCGTCTGGACTGCGCAGGGTACGCGGAGTAGTTTATTGGTGATGGTGGTGATCGTGGTGATGATGATAGTGGTGGTGATGATGGTGCTGGTGGTCATGATGGTGGAGATGATGATAGTGGTGGAGATGATGGTGGTGGTGGTGGAGATGATGGTGGTGGTAGTGATGATAGTGGTGGTGATGATGGTGCTGGTGGTGATGGTGGTGATGGTGGTGGTGATGGTGCTGGTGATGATAGTGCTGGTGGTGATGGTGGAGATGATTGATGATGGTGGTGGAGATGATGATGGTGGTGGTGGTGATGGTGGTGGTGGTGATGATGGTGGTGGAGATGAGGATGGTGGTGGAGATGAGGATGGTGGTGGAGATGAAGATGGTGGAGATGGTGATGATGATGGTGGTGGAGATGATGATGGTGGTGGAGATGATGATGGTGATGATGGAGATGGTGTTGGTGGTGATGATGGAGATGCTGGTGGTGATGATGGAGATGATGGTGATGGTGGTGGTGATGGAGATGATGGTGTTGGTGGTGATGATGGAGATGATGGTGTTGGTGATGATGGAGATGATGGGACTTGGCGCGCTACTCTCCGGCCGCCACTGCCTGCCGGTGGCGGTGGTGGCCGGGACCGGTGGGGTGGTGGCGGTCGCTCCATCTTGACGGCGCCGTCATCATCTTGACGGCGCCATCATCTGATGGCGCCGTCAGATGATTCCGTACTGCGCCAGCTCGTGCAACTCCAGGTGGTTGAACGCCTCCCACGGGCAGATGACGGTGATGTCTGCACGCCAGGCAGAGGAGAGACATCAGCCGCTGCTGTGTCTACGGCTGCTGTGTCTGCTGCTGCTGTGGCTACGGCTGCTGTGTCTGCTGCTGCTGCTGTGTCTGCTGCTGTGTCTGCTGCTGCTGCTGTTGTCTGCTGCTGCTGCTGTGTCTGCTGCTGCTGCTGCTGTTGTCTGCTCCTGTGTCTGCTGCTGTGTCTGCTGCTGCTGCTGCTGTGGCTGCTGCTGCTGTGTCTGCTGCTGCTGTGTCTGCTGCTGCTGCTGTGTCTGCTGCTGCTGCTGTGTCTGCTGCTGTGTCTGCTGCTGCTGTGTCTGCTGCTGCTGCTGTGTCTGCTGCTGTGTCTGCTGCTGCTGCTGTGTCTGCTGCTGCTGTGTCTGCTGCTGCTGCTGTGTCTGCTGCTGCTGTGTCTGCTGCTGCTGCCGTGTCTGCTGCTGCAGCTGTGTCTGGGACAGCATCGGCGGTGCGCGTGGGGCCGCATCGCACCGCCGATGAAGCACGGCTGGCTGACGGACGGCGCGACAGGAGGGTGACAGGAGGGTGACAGGAGGGTGACGGGAGGGTGACAGGAGGGTGACAGGAGGGTGACGGGAGGGTGACAGGAGGGTGACAGGAGGGTGACAGGAGGGTGACGTGAGGTTGACGGGAAGTTCATCAACATCGTCGCGGGTCTCCCGTCCGGCACGTGCCGGGTCACATCGCCGCTCGTACACCGGCGGCATCCATCGCAGGGCCACCAGGGGGCCACCGGTGGCCTTTCGTGCGGTCCCCCCCTCGTCGTCGTCGTCATCGTCGTCGTCGTCGTCGTCATCATCGTCGCCATCGTCATCATAGTCGTCGTCATCGTCGTCATCGTGACCATCGTCATTATCGTCGTCATTGTCATCATCGTCGTCATCGTCGTCGTCATCATCGTCATTGTCGTCGTCATCATCGTCGTTATCATCGTCATCATCGTCGTCGTCATCGTCGTCATCATCGTCGTCGTCATCATCGTCGTCATCATCGTCATCATCATCGTCATCATCATTGTCATCGTCGTCATCATCGTCGTCATCGTCGTCATCATCGTCGTCATCATCATTGTCGTCATCGTCGTCGTCATCGTGTTGCTGTCAAACCCAACAAATGGTTTCAAGTGTGTGGTGGTGGCGGCCCTCACTCACACACTGATGATGTCTTTACTCTTTGGTTCTTTCGGTAAAGTCACGTAGGTAGAAATACAATAATATATGTAATATTATTTTATTTGTCTACATACGTGACTTTACCTAAAGAACCAAAGAGTATGGATTCCTGCAGTTACGAAAGCTTCAAATCTAGATTGATGATGTCTTATCGGCAAAAGTGTCCACCCCTCCCCACTGAAGATTGCTGCTGCTGATGTCACCATCCTAGAATCTCACCACTCGGACCCAGCAGAACGCTGCTGCTGATGTCACCATCCTAGAATCTCACCACTCAGACCCAGCAGAACGCTGCTGCTGCTGCTGATGTCACCATCCTAGAATCTCACCACTCGGACCCAGCAGAACGCTGCTGCTGATGTCACCATCCTAGAATCTCACCACTCGGACCCAGCAGAACGCTGCTGCTGATGTCACCATCCTAGAATCTCACCACCCAGACCCAGCAGAACGCTGCTGCTGCTGATGTCACCATCCTAGAATCTCACCACTCAGACCCAGCAGAACGCTGCTGCTGATGTCACCATCCTAGAATCTCACCACCCAGACCCAGCAGAACGCTGCTGCTGATGATGTCACCATCCTAGAATCTCACCACCCAGACCCAGCAGAACGCTGCTGCTGATGTCACCATCCTAGAATCTCACCACTCAGACCCAGCAGAACGCTGCTGCTGATGTCACCATCCTAGAATCTCACCACCCAGACCCAGCAGAACGCTGCTGCTGATGTCACCATCCTAGAATCTCACCACTCAGACTCAGCAGAACGCTGCTGCTGCTGCTGCTGATGTCACCATCCTAGAATCTCACCACTCAGACCCAGCAGAACGCTGCTGCTGCTGCTGATGTCACCATCCTAGAATCTCACCACCCAGACCCAGCAGAACGCTGCTGCTGCTGCTGATGTCACCATCCTAGAATCTCACCACCCAGACCCAGCAGAACGCTGCTGCTGCTGCTGCTGATGTCACCATCCTAGAATCTCACCACCCAGACCCAGCAGAACGCTGCTGCTGCTGATGTCACCATCCTAGAATCTCACCACCCAGACCCAGCAGAACGCTGCTGCTGCTGATGTCACCATCCTAGAATCTCACCACTCAGACCCAGCAGAACGCTGCTGCTGATGTCACCATCCTAGAATCTCACCACCCAGACCCAGCAGAACGCTGCTGCTGCTGCTGATGTCACCATCCTAGAATCTCACCACCCAGACCCAGCAGAACGCTGCTGCTGCTGATGTCACCATCCTAGAATCTCACCACCCAGACCCAGCAGAACGCTGCTGCTGCTGCTGATGTCACCATCCTAGAATCTCACCACCCAGACCCAGCAGAACGCTGCTGCTGCTGATGTCACCATCCTAGAATCTCACCACTCAGACCCAGCAGAACGCTGCTGCTGATGTCACCATCCTAGAATCTCACCACCCAGACCCAGCAGAACGCTGCTACTGCTGCTGATGTCACCATCCTAGAATCTCACCACTCAGACCCAGCAGAACGCTGCTGCTGCTGCTGATGTCACCATCCTAGAATCTCACCACCCAGACCCAGCAGAACGCTGCTGCTGCTGCTGATGTCACCATCCTAGAATCTCACCACCCAGACCCAGCAGAACGCTGCTGCTGCTGCTGATGTCACCATCCTAGAATCTCACCACCCAGACCCAGCAGAACGCTGCTGCTGCTGCTGATGTCACCATCCTTGAATCTCACCACCCAGACCCAGCAGAACGCTGCTGCTGCTGCTGATGATGTCACCATCCTAGAATCTCACCACTCAGACCCAGCAGAACGCTGCTGCTACTGCTGATGTCACCATCCTAGAATCTCACCACCCAGACCCAGCAGAACGCTGCTGCTGCTGCTGATGATGTCACCATCCTAGAATCTCACCACCCAGACCCAGCAGAACGCTGCTGCTGCTGCTGATGATGTCACCATCCTAGAATCTCACCACCCAGACCCAGCAGAACGCTGCTGCTGCTGCTGATGATGTCACCATCCTAGAATCTCACCACCCAGACCCAGCAGAACGCTGCTGCTGTGTATCATCTAGGTATCTCTCTGTGTCTCAGTGGCTTCACTGCATGGCCCACAGTTTAGGGTCGCATGACTACGCTCACCCAGCACCCCTCACCGCTCAACGCTCACCCTCACCCCGCGGTGAGCGCAGTGAGCGAGTGGCTACTCACCAGTGCCCAGGCCCTCCATGCCGGGGATGTCGTCCCCGAACCTGCGGAGAGGCACAAGGGAGCGGGCAGTGAGCGGGGCAGCCCTCTGGCCAAACTAAAACCATACTCCTTTAAATTTCGATTTAAAGCTTTCGTGACTGCAGGGATTCATCTTCGTGGTTCTTTCGGTAAAGTCACGTAGAGTGGAAATAATAAAATATTAAAAATAAAACACAATTTAAAAAATTCTCACGACGTTTCGGCCACAACGCAAGCAGCCGTCCTCAGGTGGAGAACAGGTCTGTCGAGAAGACAGAGACTGAATAATATTTTATTATGTTTTTTTATTATTATTTTATTACTTCCCTTCTACGTGACTTTACCGAAAGAACCAAGAAGATGAATCCCTGCAGTCACGAAAGCTTTAAATCGAAATTTTGTTCAAGTTCAAGTTCATTTATTAGGTATAGCCCTGTGAGCCATTCGGCTCTTGAATCGGGTGCATCACCCCAGGGGCTGCGAGTCGTGGCACTATTTTATTTTAGTTTAGAAGGGTCGATCAGCGAAAACACTAATTAAGCACGGCACGTGGGTACAACTCACGTGCCATCAAACCAATGCCGTAATTATAATTAAAAGCAACAATTTGCTAAACCTTGGCCACAATATCTGGACTTGTCTTCATAAAAATAAATGCGTAGATTTATATTCTTGGTTCTTTCAGTAAAGTCATGTAGAAGGGTAAAAATAAAATTATCTAAATATAAAACAATAAAAATTCTCACGACGTTTCGACTGCAACACAAGCAATCATCATCATGTGTGAAATCCACAGCAAGAAAAAGCATACATTTCTGTTTATGTTTATATGATTGTGGTTATGGTTGTACTTTATTAATCTCTAATCTCTGCCATGACATACAATGAAACAAGAAAAGGTAAAAAAAGTAACAACAGAGCCATGTAATACAATACACTGTTAGACATTATTGTAAAAAATAAATAAATAAATCCATCCCCTGTGTTAGTGAAATTTTTTATCTTTTAGGCAGGAAATGAGTTTTCAAATGTATTTATTTTTCTGGGTTGGGACCCCCAGACACCCTGGAAGATTTGATCCCCCCCGATGTTGACTCCATGGCTACAGCCTTGCATCAAACCCTACGTACTTATGAACATTTCACTTTTGTTTGAAGGATTGAGAACCAATGGGCTGCGAGGATGCAGAAGATGTGAAGAGCCACCGCTGGAGACGCGTGTTTCTAAAACTAAACTAATAACGAGTTTTGAGTTTTTATTTCGCCAGGTCAGGCCCCACTGAGCCGTGTAAGATGTTTTTCAGAAGCGACCTGGCCATCAAAAATGATGGCTTAACGAAGTTGGCTTATCATCATCAACATCATCATCAACATCATCATCATCAACTTCATCATCAACATCATCATCATCAACATCATCATCATCAACTTCATCATCATCAACATCATCATCAACATCATCATCAACATCATGTGTATCTCGGTGTGTACCTGTGTGTGTGTATCTCGGTGTGTATGTATCTCTGTGTGTGTATTTCTGTATATATCTGTGTGTCTATCTATGTATGTATCTGTGTGTGTCTCTCTGTATGAATCTGTGTATGTATCTCTGTGTGTATGTATCTGTGTGTGTGTATCTCGGTGTGTGTGTGTGTGTGTATCTTGGTGTGTGCGTGCCCACCCAACCTTGTATGTATCTGTGTGTGTATGTGTCTGTGTGTGTGTATCTCGGTGTGTATCTGTGTGTGTGTGTGTATCTTGGTGTGTGCGTGCCCACCCAACCTTGAATGTATCTGTGTGTGTATGTGTCTCTGTGTGTATGTATCTGTGTGTGTGTGGATCTCGGTGTGTATCTGTGTGTATGTGTCTCTGTGTGTATGTATCTGTGTGTGTGTGGATCTCGGGGTGTATCTGTGTGTATGTGTCTCTGTGTGTATGTATCTGTGTGTGTGTGGATCTCTGTGTGTATGTATCTGTGTGTATGTGTCTCTGTGTGTATGTATCTGTGTGTGTGTGTATCTCGGTGTGTGCGTGCCCACCCACCCTTGAATGCCCTTCTTGGGGGGCTTGCTCTTGAACTGCCGCGTCTGGCGCTGCTTGAACTTGGGGGGGCCCCGCCGCGGCGTGGCGGGCCCCCCACTCACTTTGGTGGGGGCCATCAGGGCCCCGGACGTGTTGGCGGTCGCCAGGTTCATCGCGGGTCAACTTTGACCCCCACAGCTCCCCCGCTCCGTCCCCCCCACGGCCGCCCCTCCCCCAAAATCCCTTGACCTTTGGGATTGACCTCGCCGACGACGCTGCTGCCGCCGCTGCTGCTGCGTGGTTCGGGTCACCGGACGGGGGAGAGTTCGGGTCACCGCTCTGTCCGCAATGTCAGAGTCCAGCATCATCAGCAGCATCATCAGCAGCATCAGCATCATCAGCAGCAGCATCACCAGCGGCATCAGCAGCAGCATCATCAGCAGCAGCATCAGCAACATCATCAGCAGCATCATCAGCAACATCATCAGCAGCATCAGCAGCAGCATCACCAGCAGCATCACCAGCAGCATCACCAGCAGCAGCATCATCAGCAGCAGCATCATCAGCAGCATCACCAGCAGCATCACCAGCAGCAGCATCATCAGCAGCAGCATCATCAGCAGCATCACCAGCAGCATCACCAGCAGCATCAGCAGCAGCATCACCAGCAGCATCACCAGCAGCAGCATCATCAGCAGCAGCATCATCAGCAGCATCACCAGCAGCATCACCAGCAGCATCAGCAGCAGCATCACCAGCAGCATCACCAGCAGCATCATCAGCAGCAGCAGCATCAGCAGCATCACCAGCAGCATCACCAGCAGCATCAGCAGCAGCATCACCAGCAGCATCACCAGCAGCATCATCAGCAGCAGCAGCATCAGCAGCATCATCAGCAGCATCATCAGCAAAATCATCAGCAGCATCATCAGCAGCATCAAGCGGAGTCGGAGTCCTCTTAACGCAATCGTCATCAGGTGATGGTCTTCCTCCCAACAGTCATCGCGAACACCATCATCATCATTGCTAACACCATCAGCATCATAATTGTGAGCGCCATCATCATCAGCGGCATCATCATCATCGTTGTCCTCCGAACATGTATAGCTAGCACCATCATCATCAGCATCATCATCATCGCTAGCACCATCATCAGCATCATCATCAGCAGCATCATCATCACCGTTCACACCATCCACATCATCATCATCGTCCGTTTAAGTAATGGCCAACACCACCATCATCATCATTGACACAATCATCATCAGCAGCATCATCGTCCACTGAACAGTCATCGCTAACACCATCACCACCATTATCACCAGACCCGCGTACAGGAGGGTCCCGCTACATTTGGAAACGTTCGGACCCTGGATCAGAGGTCGCAAACAGGTTTTGATTCCTTACCCGTACCCGTACCCGGCCGCACCAGGGTCGCAAACGGGTACTCGTACCCGATACCCGTACCCTACCCGTACCCGGCCGGGTACGGGTAGGGTACGGGTATCGGGTACCTGATTTCGACCTCTGGGATGAAGCCATGTTGCAGGCGCGGGTGGGCTGATTCTAGGAACTTGAATTGTGAGAAGAGACAAGACGTTGGGAAATGAGTGACAAACGGTTACTCACCAGTGACTCACGGCCTACCCGTACCCGGCCGCACCAGGGTCGCAAACGGGTAGCCGTACCCGGCCGGGTTACGGGTAGCGAGGGAATATGAACCCCCTGAGAACCCCCAGTGCCTCCGACACACATCTCCGTATTTTTAATCCACGTATCTTTAGTTTAAGACGTAGGAGGCTTTCGCGACCAATATCATCAATAATAGAGGGTTTTTTTGTTCTGGGTTAGATCGCGTAAATATATAAATGTTGTGTCGTTAAACCCGCTACCACCCGACACGGCCAACTAGTGAGGGTTGTCACGTAAACAGAACGTGTCCAATTCGTCACTAGTACAGCACTAGTGTGTAGTGTATAGTGTATAGTAGTGTAGTGTATAGTGTATTATACTAGTACAGCACTAGTGTATAGTGTAGTGTATAGTGTAGTGTAGTGTAAAGTGTAGTGTGTAGTGTATTATACTAGTACAGCACTAGTGTGTAGTGTAGTGTATAGTGTAGTATACTAGTACAGCACTAGTGTATAGTGTAGTGTATAGTGTAGTATACTAGTACAGCACTAGTGTATAGTGTATAGTGTAGTGTGTAGTGTAGTGTATAGTGTAGTGTGTAGTGTATTATACTAGTACAGCACTAGTGTGTAGTGTAGTAGTGTATAGTAGTGTAGTGTATAGTGTATTATACTAGTACAGCACTAGTGTATAGTGTAGTGTATAGTGTAGTGTAGTGTAAAGTGTAGTGTGTAGTGTATTATACTAGTACAGCACTAGTGTGTAGTGTAGTGTATAGTGTAGTATACTAGTACAGCACTAGTGTATAGTGTAGTGTATAGTGTAGTATACTAGTACAGCACTAGTGTATAGTGTAGTGTAGTGTAAAGTGTAGTGTGTAGTGTATTATACTAGTACAGCACTAGTGTAAAGTGTAGTGTATAGTGTAGTGTAGTGTAAAGTGTAGTGTATAGTGTAGTATACTAGTACAGCACTAGTGTATAGTGTAGTGTAGTGTATAGTGTAGTGTGTAGTGTAGTATACTAGTACAGCACTAGTGTATAGTGTAGTGTATAGTGTAGTATACTAGTACAGCACTAGTGTAGTGTATAGTGTAGTATACTAGTACAGCACTAGTGTATAGTGTAGTATACTAGTACAGCACTAGTGTAGTGTATAGTGTAGTATACTAGTGTAATTAACCCTGTTGAGACAACGTCGGGAATTCAGAATTCTTTATTAAGTTTCGTCCACAGCTCTCACTACATCAGTTCCTCTATTCCATAGCTCCTTCGCGCTGTTGGCAGACAGCGTGAGAGGGAGAGATGGAGATTGCCACGGCCTGCCACGTGGCAGGCTCCGGACCACGTCACCAGCCACGTGGCTTCCACCCTCGCTCCTCCACGCTCTGACCACGTGCTGTCTGTCTCCGCCCCTTTCAATCACTGGCCCACGTGATGCCCTGCAACCAATCCTCAGCCACATCCCTGGAACTTTCCAGAAGCTACTATACGGCTCCAGGGCCACGCCCCTAACTCGACTCCCCATTGGTTGTGGGCTGAGGCCGGCAGAGCCAATCATCATCATCATCATCCAGGTGTAGCCTCACATTACACTAGTATACTACACTATACACTACACTATACTCCAGTGCTGTACTAGTATACTACACCATACACTACACTATACACTACACTATACACTACACTATACTCCAGTGCTGTACTAGTATACTACACTATACACTACACTATACACTACACTATCCTCCAGTGCTGTACTAGTATACTACACTATACACTACACTATACACTACAATATACACTACACTATCCTCCAGTGCTGTACTAGTATACTACACTATACACTACACTATACACTAGTACAGTACTGTACTAGTATACTACACTATACACTACACTATACACTAGAGCTGTACTAGTATACTACACTATACACTACATACTACACTATACACTAGTACAGTACTGTACTAGTATATTACACTAGTACTACACTATACACTACACTATACTCCAGTGCTGTACTAGTATACTACACTATACACTACACTATACACTACACTTTACACTACACACTACACTATACACTACACACTAGTGCTGCCACGTTCTGTTTACGTGACAACCCTCACTAATTGGCCGTGTCGGGTGGTGGCGGGTTTAACGACACAACATTTATATATTTACGCGATCTAACCCAGAACAAAAACCTCTTTATCTTTTGTTTTGACCCATCCCATCAGCCGCTCACAGGGCCTTCTGTGGGGAGTCCAGCAGCAGCATCAGCAGCAGCACCATCAGCAGCATCAGCAGCAGCAGCATCAGCAGCATCAGCAGGAGCAACAACAGCAGGAGTAACAACATCAGCAGCAGCAGTAGCATCAGCAGCATCAGCAGCAGCATCAGCAGGAGTAACAACAGCAGGAGTAACAACAGCAGCAGCAGTAGCAGAAGCAGCAGCAGCATCAGCAGCAGCATCAGCAGGAGTAACAACAGCAGGAGTAACAACAGCAGCAGCAGCAGCATCAGCAGCAGCATCAGCAGCATCAGCAATGAGAGTCGCGCTCGGCCGAACAGACGCCGGCGACCTGCTGCCCGCGCGTGTGATGTTATTGGCAAAATATATCTCTCCTTCTCGTCCTTATTTTATTGAATGTTTAAATCTTAACAGGTAAGGCCCCAATGAGCAGACGTGTCTCTCTCTCTTTCTTGTTTTCTCTTTTCAGAACCGACCCCTACCTAACGCGAATGAATCCCTCTACCAAGTGGCTTCTTATCATCATCATCACCACCCCATCATCATCACCACGTGCAAATGTGCAGCATTAGCCAGATACTCTGAACGCGTGCTCGTTGAGCCTCAATGCGGAGGGGGGGGGGGGACCCCGGAGAACAATCCACGCGATCGTGGGGAGAGACACGCAGACTCCAAATATACAGCAGCATGCGTCAGGGTCGGGATCGAACCCACGACCTCCTGTATACCAGGCGAGGTAGTTAACATCTCCTAGCCACCGTGATGATGATGAGAGAGAGAGACACGCAGACTCCAAATATACAGCAGCAGCAGCCCACGACCTCCTGTAGACCAGGCGAGGGAGTTAACATCTCCTAGCTACCGTGATGATGATGAGAGAGACACGCAAACTCCAAATATACAGCAGGCAGCGTCAGGGTCGCGATCGAGCTCACGACTTTCTGTAGAACAGGCGAAGTAGTTAACATCTCCTAGCCACAGTGATGATGATGAGAGACGCAAACTCCAAATATACAGCAGCAGGCGTCAGAGTCGGGATCGAACCCACGACCTCCTGCACACCAGGCGAGGTAGTTAACATCTCCTAGCCACCGTGATGATGATGAGAGAGACACGCAGACTCCAAATATACAGCAGCAGCTCACGACTTTCTGTATACCAGGCGAGGTAGTCATCATCTCTTAGCCATCGTGATGATGAAAGAGAGAGACGCAGACTCCAAATAGACAGCAGCAGCAGCAGACGTCAGGGTCGAACCAAGGACCTCCTGCGTACCCGGCGAGGTAGTTAACATCTCATCCACGGTGGCGCTCCAGGATGGGTCCCGGTTCCACGCGAAATGACAACAACACTCGCGGTCGTGGTGGTGGTGGGGTCTCCGCACAGATAGATTCGAAAATCCGTTGCTGTGCCACCATCCAATGGCCCCAACTTCCATGATCATCATCATCATCATACACCGGCGATAATTGTTTTTGCTCTGACTGCTAAAGAGTTTGGTACCTGTCTGGGTTGATGCTGATGGCGCTGATGCTGCTGCTGATGCTGCTGCTGATGGTGCTGATGCTGTTGCTGATGCTGATGATGCCGCTGATGTCGCTGTTGCTGCTGATGATGATGATGCTGATGATGCTGATGCTACTGCTGATGATGGTGCTGCTGGTGATGATGGTGCTACTGCTGATGCTGCTGATGCTGATGATGCTGATGCTGATGATGCTGCTGCTGATGCTGCTGATGCTGATGATGGTGCTGGTGTCAGGTTGGGTCTGTCGGTGTGAGCATCTGGCAGGATTAGAGTCGGGATGGATTTTCGACACGGATTACAGATAATCTGACCCGTGTATTACCCTGCTTATTATAGCGGCACCACTATCACTACATCACCATCACTACCACCGTCACCATCATTACACCATCACCATCATCACCATCACTACCACCGTCACCATCATTACACCATCACCACCACCACCATCACTACACCATCACCACCACTACACCATCACCATCACTACCACCGTCACCATCACTACACCATCACCTTCACTACCATCATCACCATCACTACACCATCACCACCACTACCATCACCACCATCACTACACCATCACCACCACCACCATCACCACCATCATCACCACCACCATCACTACACCATCACCATCACTACCATCATCACCATCACTACCACCATCACTACACCATCACTTCACCATCACCATCATCACTATCACTACATCATCACTACATCACCATCACTACCACCATCACCATCATCACCACCATCACCATCACTTTACCATCACCATCACTACACCATCACCATCATCACCACCATCACCATCACTACCACCATCATCACCATCACCACTATCACTTCACCATCGCTACACCATCACCATCATCACCACCATCACCATCATCACCATCACTACACCATCACTACACAATCACCACCACCATCACTACACAATCACTACACCATCACCACCACCATCACTACCATCACTACCATTACCTTCACTACACCATCACTACATCACCATCACTACAGCATCACCATCACTACACCATCACCACCATCACCACCACCATCACTACACCACCACCATCACTACCACCATCACCATCACTACAGCATCACCATCACTACACCACCACCATCACTACCACCATCACCATCACTACAGCATCACCATCACTACACCATCACTACCATCACCACCATCACACCACCATCACTACATCACCATCACTACACCATCATCACCACCACCATCACTACAGCATCACCATCTCTACACCATCACTACCATCACCACCATCACACCACCATCACTACATCACCATCACTACACCATCATCACCACCACCACCATCACTACAGCATCACCATCACTACACCATCACTACATCACCACGTGTCCCCTCTCGGGTCCCCTCTCCCCCGCGCCCCCCGTCACTCCGAGGCAACAATGGCAGGAAAGGAGACGCCGCCCATTGCCCATCCTGTGTCCCTCCGTGTCCCAACACGTGTCCCCGTGTCGCTCCGTGTCCCCGTCTCCCCGCCGTGTCCCTGTATCCACGTGTACCCATCGTGTCCCCGTCTCTCTGTCTCCACGTGTCCCCGTGTCGCTCCGTGTCCCCATGTCCCCATCTCCCCATCGTGTCCCTGTGTCCACGTGTACCCATCGTGTCCCCATCTCTCCATCGTGTCTCGTGTCCACGTCTCCCTGTCTCCACGTGTCCCCATCTCCCATCGTGTCCCGTGTCCCCGTGTACCCATCGTGTCCCCATCTCCCCATTGTCTCCACGTGTCCCCGTGTCCCCATCTCCCCATCGTGTCCCCGTCTCCCTGTCTCCACGTGTCCACATCTCCCCATCGTGTCTCGTGTCCCCGTGTACCCATCGTGTCCCCATCTCCCCATTGCCTCCACGTGTCCCCGTGTCCCCATTTCCCCGTCGTGTCGCTGTGTCCTCGTCTCCCCGTGTCCCAATCTCCCCATTGTCTCCACGTGTCCCCATCTCTGTGTCTCCACAATCTCCACATGCCGCTATGACGAAATGTCCGTCTCCTCGTCTCCACGTGATCCCGTGTCCACGTGTCCCTGTCTCTCCGTGTCCCCGTCTGCTCGTGTCTCCACGTGTTTGGAGATTGGGGTTGGAGTCAGGGTTGGGGGTTCGGACTAGGGCACGGGTTGGAGTTGGGGTTAGCCGAGGGATACGGCTCGGGCTAAGTCGGGGTTCTGTTCGTGATATGGTTGAGGTTGGGTGTGAGGGATGGTGTTAGGATTGGGGGTTAGGGATTAGGCTTTGGTTAGGTTAGAGTTGGGGACAGTGCTGGATGAATCGAGTGCGGGCCGGCAGCAGATGATGTTAAAAGGGGCTCTAACATTAAAAAACACGCAAATATTAAAATACACATTTTTAACTTGCATAGTAAAGTAATTGTATTTTTTAATTTGCTACACAGCCAGATAATAGCACAAATCGCTAACCTTAAACACCGAGTCGTTCGTAAAAGTTGAAGGCGGTATAGTACTATAGTAATAGAGCAAGTGCAGAATCACTGAACAGGAATCGATAGCTTGAAAGCATTTAGCGCGGGGCCCTTGAAAGTGCGGGGCCCGTAGCTACTACACGTGTAGCTACTACACGCGTAGCTACTACACGCGCAGCTACTACACATGTAGTAGCTACTACACATGTAGTAGCTACTACACATGTAGCGACTACACACATGTAACTACTACTTATGTAGCTACTACACATGCAGCTACTACACATGCAGCTACTTGTGCTACGAGGATAATCCGGCACTGGACGTGGGGATCGGGCTGAGGTTATTGTTGAGGTTGTGGTGAGTGATGGTGTTAGGATTGGCGGTCGGGATGAGGATGGAATCAGGGTTTACGGAGTCCTACTTCACTGAGGCCGATCTTGACACCGCTGGTACCAGTCATCGGCTAGTCCACTCAGCTCCACGTCCTCCTGTACCACATCACTCAATCTCTTCTCTAGCCCGTGCCGTGCCCGTTTAGCCCCCTCGATCCGGCCGAACAAAAGCTGTTTAGGCATGCGGTGGCTGGGCATGCGGGCATGACCCAGCCAACGCAGCCTTGCCTGCCGGAGGAGCTCACCGATTGGACTTTGTCCAGACATTTCAAAGATTTGTGAGCTCCTCACACAACCCAGCCTGGTTAAACCCAGGATGGATCATAGGCAGGCCAGCCTAAGACACAGACACACTGACACACAGACACAGACAGACACACACACACAGACACACACACACACAGACACCCCTACTAACATACAGACACACACACACAGACACACACAGACAGACACACACACAGACACTCCTACTAACACAGACACACACACACAGACACACACACAGACACCCCTATTAACACACAGACAAACACAGACACACACACACACCCCTACTAACACACACCCCTACTAACACACAGACACACACAGACACACACCCCTACTAACACACACACACCCCTACTAACACACATACACACACAGACACACACACACGTACACCCCAAAGAACACACAGACACACACACAGACACCCCTACTAACACACAGACACACACATACAGACACACACACAGACACACACACACACAGTCACACACACACAGACAGACACCCTATTAACACAGCCCACACACAGACACACACACAGACACACACACCCCTACTGACACACAGCTCACTCACACACACAGACACAATGACACACACACACCCCTACTAACACACAGACACACACACAGACACACACACAGCCACACAGACACCCCTACTAACACACACACACAGACACACACCCCTACTAACACACACACACACACACCCCTACTAACACACACACACACCCCTACTAACACACACGGGCTCGCTATCTCACTCCGCGTGGGGCCGGTGAGGGTTGACTGCCGATAAGAGGGGTGATGAGGGGTGGTCTGGCGATGATGGTGATGGGGGCTGGTACAGGGTGATGGGGGGGGGTGATGGGGTGGTGATGGGGGCTGGTACAGGGTGATGGGGTGGTGATGGGGGGGGGTGATGGGGGTGGTACAGGGTGATGGGGGGGTGATGGGGGGTGATGGGGGGGTGATGGGGGTGGTACAGGGTGATGGGGTGATGGGGTGGTGATGGGGGGGGGTGATGGGGGGGGGTGATGGGGGTGGTACAGGGTGATGGGGTGGTGATGGGGGGGGGGTGATGGGGGCTGGTACAGGGTGATGGGGTGGTGATGGGGGTGGTACAGGGTGATGGGGTGGTGATAGGGGGGGGTGATGGGGGTGGTACAGGGTGATGGGGGGGTGATGGGGGTGGTACAGGGTGATGGGGGGGTGATGGGGGTGGTACAGGGTGATAGGGGGGTGATGGGGGTGGTACAGGGTGATTGGGGGGGTGATGGGGGGGTGATGGGGGGGTGATGGGGGGGGGGGGGTGATGGGGGTGGTACAGGGTGATGGGGAGGGGGGGGTGATGGGGGCTAGTACAGGGTGATGGGGGGTGATGGAGGGGGGGTGATGGGGGGGTGATGAGGGCTGGTACAGGGTGATGGGGGGGGGGTGATGGAGGGGGGCTGATGGGGGGGGGGTGATGGATGGAGGGGGGGGGTGATGGATGGAGGGGGGGTGATGGGAGTTCCCTAATCAATGAGACGGCCTGGTGACGTCACGCCGGTCCCTCTCTCTCGCCCCGCGGAGCCTCCAGCAGAGAGAGAGAGAGAGGCGAGGAGCGGCAGCGCGGAGCGGAGAGAGAGAGCGGCAGACGAGGAGGCGGAGAAGATGATGGTGCGTGTGGGAGACGAGGTGGGGGGGGAGACGAGGTGGGAGGGGAGACGAGGTGGGGGGGGGGGAGACGAGGTGGGGGGGGGGAGACGAGGTGGGGGGGGGGGGAGACGAGGTGGGAGGGGGGGAGACGAGGTGGGGTTGATGGTGGGAGACGGAGGAGAGAGTGGGAGGCGAGGGGGGGGAGACAAGGGGGGTGATGGTGAGGGACGAGGTGGGGGGTGATGGTGGGATACGAGGTGGGGGGTGGGGTGGGAGACGAGGGGGGGGGGGTGAGACCAGGGGGTGATGGTGGGAGACGAGGTGGGGGGGGGGGGAGACGGAGGAGAGAGAGGGAGGCGAGGGGGGGGAGACGGGGGTGTGAGATGAGAGATGAGAGAGATGAGAGATGAGAGAGAACGCGGAGAGAGATGAGCGAGATGAGAGAGATGAGCGAGATGAGGGTGAGCAGGGAGAGGAGACAGCGGGAGACGGGGGGGGGGGGGGATGGTGGCCGGTGAGGGATGAGAGATGGAGAGCCGTGGTACAGGGGGCGGGGTGGGGTGGGAGATTAGAGAGACAGGGGGGGGGGTGTGAGATGAGAGAGAGGGGGGGGGGGAGATGAGAGAGAGGGGGTGGGAGATGAGAGAGACAGGGGGGGGAGATGAGAGAGAGGGGGTGGTGTGGGAGATGAGAGAGAGGGGGTGGTGTGGGAGATGAGAGAGAGGGGGGGGGGGAGATGAGAGAGAGGGGGTGGTGTGGGAGATGAGAGAGAGGGGGGGGGGGGATGAGAGAGAGGGGGTGGTGTGGGAGATGAGAGAGAGAGGGGGGGGGAGATGAGAGAGAGGGGGTGGTGTGGGAAATGAGAGAGAGGGGGGGGGGAGATGAGAGAGAGGGGGTGGTGTGGGAGATGAGAGAGAGAGGGGGGGGGGGAGATGAGAGAGAGGGGGGTGGTGTGGGAGATGAGAGAGAGGGGGGGGGGAGATGAGAGAGAGGGGGTGGTGTGGGAGATGAGAGACAGGGGGGGGGGAGATGAGAGAGAGGGGGTGGTGTGGGAGATGAGAGAGACAGGGGGGGGGAGATGAGAGAGAGGGGGTGGTGTGGGAGATGAGAGAGAGGGGGGGGGGAGATGAGAGAGAGGGGGTGGTGTGGGAGATGAGAGAGACAGGGGGGGGGAGATGAGAGAGAGGGGGTGGTGTGGGAGATGAGAGAGAGGGGGGGGGGGGAGATGAGAGAGAGGGGGTGGTGTGGGAGATGAGAGAGAGGGGGGGGGAGATGAGAGAGAGGGGGGTGGTGTGGGAGATGAGAGAGACAGGGGGGGGGGAGATGAGAGAGAGGGGGTGGTGTGGGAGATGAGAGAGACAGGGGGGGGGGGGAGATGAGAGACAGGGGGTGGTGTGGGAGATGAGAGAGAGGGGGGGGGGAGATGAGAGAGAGGGGGTGTGAGATGAGAGAGACAGGGGGGGTGGGAGATGAGAGAGGGGGGGGTGGGAGATGAGAGAGAGGGGGGGGGTGGGAGATAAGAGAGAGGGGGGGGTGGGAGATGAGAGAGGGGGGGTGGGAGATGAGAGAGGGGGGGGGGGGGGTGGGAGATAAGAGAGAGGGGGGGGGGTGGGAGATGAGAGAGACAGGGGGGGGGAGATGAGAGAGACAGGGGGGGGGGGAGATGAGAGAGACAGGGGGGGTGGGAGATAAGAGAGAGGGGGGGGGTGGGAGATGAGAGAGGGGGGGTGGGAGATGAGAGAGGGGGGGGGTGGGAGATAAGAGAGAGGGGGGGTGGGAGATGAGAGAGACAGGGGGGGAGGTGTGGTGGGAGATGAGAGAAAGGGGGGGTGGGAGATGAGAGAGAGAGGGGGGGGAGATGTGTTGATGGACCCGGCTGAGGAGGGAATTAGAGAAGACGCGAGGCAGGGATGAGAAGGGAGATGAGAGGGAGTGGGAGAGTGGGAGGAGGGACAGGGAGACACGGGAGGGGAGTGGGGGGACAGGGAGACAGTGAGACATGGGGGGAGTGGGGGACAGGGAGACACGGGAGGGGAGTGGGGGGACAGGGAGACAGTGAGACATGGGGGGAGTGGGGGACAGGGAGACACGGGAGGGGAGTGGGGGACAGGGAGACACGGGAGGGGAGTGGGGGGACAGGGAGACAGTGAGACATGGGGGGAGTGGGGGACAGGGAGACACGGGAGGGGAGTGGGGGGACAGGGAGACAGTGAGACATGGGGGGAGTGGGGGACAGGGAGACACGGGAGGGGAGTGGGGGGACAGTGTGACAGGGGGGGTGGGTGGGGGACAGGGAGACAGTGAGACATGGGGGAGTGGGGGACAGGGAGACGGGGGGGGGGCAGTGTGACACGGGGGGGATGATCCTGACCACCCCCCCCTTGTGGACCCCTCTGCCCCCCCCCCCCCCCCCCCCAGTGATGCCCCTGCTGCGTCAGCTCCTCCCGGGGTCCCCGTCGCGGCGTCACGGCTCGCGCGGGGAGCTGCGCGCCGAGATGATCAGCGCGCCGCTGCGCGACTTCAGGCACACCATGCACGTGGGCCGTGGCGGGGCCGCGTTCGGAGACACCGCGTTCCTCAGCGGTGGCACCACCGCCACCGCCACCGCCGCCACCGCCACCACCTCCTCGCCACCGACACCACCGCCGGCCTCGCGCCGCCCGTCCCCGCACAACCTGCTGCTGCTGTTGCCATGGGGTAGGGTGCGGAGGAGCAACTCCGGGCAGCAGCAGCAGCAGCAGCAGCAGCAGCAGCTGCAGCAGGGAGGGCAGCTGGGTGAGATTCCTCCGGCCGGGCAGTCGCCCATCATCAAGAACGCGCTGTCGCTGCCCGCGCTCACGGGGCCCAGGTTCACTCTGGGCAGCTCGGGGTCTCGGAGCGCCACGGCGACCCCGGTGCGCGTGACCCCTGCTGCTGGGGGTCAGGCGAGGGGACCCCCAAAAGAAGATGAGGAGGATGGAGATGAGGAGGAGGAGGAGGTGGATGGACCCGGCGGCCTGGGATCTCCCTCCGCCCGCCGGCGCGCCGCCTTCCCGCACACGGACTCGGTGTTGTCGTTCCACGTGGACCTGGGGCCCTCCATGCTGGGCGATGTCCTCGGCGTGATGGACGTGGTGGATGAGGCCCAGGGCGGAGCGGGCCCAGCGCGGAGCTCCGTGCTGGAGCCACCGCCGCCGCCGCATGGTGCGGAAGATCTGGCGGATGGTGATGATGTTGATGATGGTGATGGGGATGTTGATGGGGTGTTAGACGGGGCAGAGACTCGCGGGGCAGCGGAAAGGGCAGGGCCCAAGGGAGGGCAGTCGAGACTCGGGGGCAGTCACGAAGGAGGGCAGGAAAGGGCAGTCGCTGCTCCAGGGGAAGCCGTGAGTGTGGGGGCAGTGGCAGGGGCAGGGCAGGAGACACTGCAAGGGGCAGCCGAGAAGGTTGATACAGAGAACGGAGAGCGGGCAGCAGACAGGGCAGGTGATGGGTCGAGCGAGGGGGCAGTGGCAGGGCAGGATGTGAGAGAGGGGGCAGGGCAGGAGGAGACATTGGAAGGGGCAGGGCAGGAGACGAGGGATGGGGCAATGCTCGGGGCGCTGGGAAGTGAAGGGCAGGAGAGCTCGCAAGGGGCAGCAGGAAGGGCAGGGCAGGGGTAGGACCCCCGCTGCAGACGTCGCGCCGTGTAAACACCGCTGTCGCGACCCGTGTCGCGACCCCCCAGAGATGAGGAGGATGGAGATGAGGTGGAGGGAGGGGAGGAGGTGGGGGGGGGGAGGTGAAGGGAGGAGGTGGAAGAGGAGGTGAGAGGGGAGGAGGTGGGGGGGAGGTGGGGGGGGGGTGGTGGGGGAGGTGAGGAGGTGGGGGGGGGAGGTGAAGGGAGGAGGTGGAGGAGGAGGTGAGAGGGGAGGAGGTGGGGGGGAGGTGGGGGGGAGGAGGTGGGGGGACGGGAGGAGGTGGGGGGGGGAGGTGAAGGGAGGAGGTGGGGGGGAGGTGGGGGGGAGGTGGTGGGGGGAGGTGAGGAGGTGGGGGGGTGCTGCGATCAGGAATGTGATGGAGGTTATCTCTCGGCGTGAGACCGGCAAATAGACACCCCCCCCCCACGTGCTGTCTCGGCGTGTCTCCGTGTGTGTGTGCACGTGTCTGTGTATATGTGTGTGTGTATATGTGTGTGAACACGTGTGTGTGTGTGTGTACACGTGTCTGTGTGTGTGCACGTGTGGGGAGTGGGAGTGCAGCGGTCAGCGCGCTGCGCTGCGAACCCGGCGACCCGAGTTCGATTCCTGCTCACGGCCAACCCCGGTGACGATTATCTGAACCGGTCATGAGCCTCCCCTAGGTCGACTCAGCCTCAAACGAGTACCTGGCGCAGTGTGCGGTAAACATCGCCACTGGGGAGACAAAGGCGGCCGGGCGTGGTGCTGGCCACCCACCCCCTCGTGTGCCGTGCCGGCCTTCATAGGTGCTCGCTAACAGCACTTGCCCCTGCAGTCTGTTACAGGCTACACGGGGGATCTTTGTCTCCGTGTGTGTCTCCGTGTGTGTCCTCTGTGTGTCCCTGTGTGTGTCCCCGTGTGTGTGTCCGTGTCCCCGTGTGTGTGTCCGTGTGTGTCCGTGTGTGTCTCCGTGTGTGTCCTCTGTGTGTCCCTGTGTGTGTCCCCGTGTGTGTGTCCGTGTCCCCGTGTGTGTGTCCGTGTCCCCGTGTGTGTTCCCGTGTGTGTCCCCGTGTGTGTCTCTGTGTGAGTCTCTGTGTGTGTCTCCGTGTGTCTCTGTGTGTGTCCCCGTGTGTCTTTCCGTGTGAGTCTCTGTGTGTGTCCCCGTGTGTGTCCCCGTGTGTGTGTCCGTGTGTGTCTCTGTGTGTGTCCTCTGTGTGTGTCTATGTGTGTGTCCCCGTGTGTGTCCCCGTGTGTGTCTCTGTGTGTGTCTCTGTGTGTGTCCCCGTGTGTGTCTCTGTGTGAGTCTCTGTGTGTGTCTCCGTGTGTCTCTGTGTGTGTCCCCGTGTGTCTCTCCGTGTGAGTCTCCACGTCTTTATACCTCATCATTCACGTCCCCTCCCCGCGGAGATGGAGCGAGTTGGGTGGATCGTGGTTCCATTTGTTTTCCCAAGGAGCGGTGGCGATTAATCTGCATCTCCACCCCCTCAGGTCGACTCAGCCATAAATGAGGACAGGGACTCCTCTATTCACTAACGAGTTGGGTTCCAGAAGTCTGTTCGTAAGTCGATTTGTTCGTAAGTGAAACTTTATATCTTGTGAATCTTAACGTGTTATCCTGCATGTACACTACACACGGGGAGTGGCTTTAAAAGTTGTACAATCTCCTGGTTCTTCACGTTCTGCAGATGTATATGCCACTGGTTCTTCACGTTCTGCAGATGTAGATGCCACTGGTTCTTCACGTTCTGCAGATGTAGATGCCATTGGTTCTTCACGTTCTGTAGATGTAGATGCCACTGGTTCTTCGTGTTCTGCAGATGTAGATGCCACTGGTTCTTCGTGTTCTGCAGATGTAGGTGCCACTGGTTCTTCACGTTCTGCAGATGTAGATGCCACTGGTTCTTCACGTTCTGCAGATGGAGATGCCACTGGTTCTTCACGTTCTGCAGATGTAGATGCCACTGGTTCTTCACGTTCTGCAGATGTAGATGCCACTGGTTCTTCAAGTTCTGCAGATGTAGATGCCACTGTTTCTTCACGTTCTGCAGATGTAGGTGCCACTGGTTCTTTACGTTCTGTAGATGTAGATGCCACTGGTTCTTCACGTTCTGTAGATGTAAATGCCACTGGTTCTTCACGTTCTGTAGATATAGATGCCACTGGTTCTTCACGTTCTGCAGATGTAGATGCCACTGGTTCTTCACGTTCTGTAGATGTAGATGCCACTGGTTCTTCGCGTTCTGTAGATGTAGATGCCACTGGTTATTCAAGTTCTGTAGATGTAGATGCCACTGGTTCTTCACGTTCTGCAGATGTAGATGCCACTGATTCTTCACGTTCTGCAGATGTAAATGCCACTGGTTCTTCACGTTCTGTAGATGTAGATGCCACTGGTTTTTCACGTTCTGCAGATGTAGATGCCACTGATTCTTCACGTTCTGCAGATGTAAATGCCACTGGTTCTTTACGTTCTGCAGATGTAGATGCCACTGGTTCTTTACGTTCTGCAGATGTAGATGCCACTGGTTCTTCACGTTCTGCAGATGTAGATGCCACCGGTTCTTCACGTTCTGCAGATGTAGATGCCACTGGTTCTTCACGTTCTGTAGATGTAAATGCCACTGGTTCTTCACGTTCTGTAGATGTAGATGCCACTGGTTCTTCAAGTTCCACAGATGTAGATACCACTGGTTCTGCATGTTCTGTAGATGTAGATGCCACTGGTTCTTCACGTTCTGTAGATGTAGATGCCACGTTCTGCAGATGTCGATGCTACTGGTTCTTCAAGTTCCACAGATGTAGATGCCACTGGTTCTTCACGTTCTGTAGATGTAGATGCCACTGGTTCTTCACGTTCTGTAGATGTAGATGCCACTGGTTCTTCACGTTCTGTAGATGTAGATGCCACTGGTTCTTCACGTTCTGCAGATGTAGATGCCACTGGCTCTTCACGTTCTGTAGATGTAGATGCCGCTGGTTCTTCACGTTCTGCAGATGGAGAAGCCACTGATTCTTCACGTTCTGCAGATGTAGATGCCACTGGCTCTTCACGTTCTGTAGATGTAGATGCCGCTGGTTCTTCACGTTCTGCAGATGGAGAAGCCACTGATTCTTCACGTTCTGCAGATGTAGATGCCACTGGTTCTTCACGTTCTGTAGATTCGATGCCACTGGTTCTTCATGTGGCATCTACATGACGTACGGGACAGCTTTGTTCGTATCTCTGAAAGTTTGTGAGTCGAATGTTCATAAGCAGAGGAATCCCTTCTCCTGGTGCGGTGTGTGAACGTCAGCCCCCATGGAGAGACAAAGACGGCCGCGCTCCTCCGCTCGTGAGTGTGCCGTTGACCCCTTCACAGGGGCACGGTGACCCCACGCACTCACGGTCCCCCAACAGCCTTGCGTGGGATACACGCGGTGGGGTCTTTGTAACATTCACATCTCAGCGTCGTGAGAAATGGCAGTAGCCTTCATCCAGCAGTGGAATGATCATGGCTACTGATGATGATGATGATCATCATGGCTACTGAGGATGATGATGATGATGATCATGGCTACTGAGGATGATGATGATGATCATGGCTACTGAGGATGATGATGATGATCATGGCTACTGATGATGATGCTGATCATGGCTACTGATGATGATCATGGCTACTGAAGATGATGATGATGATCATGGCTACTGAGGATGATGATGATGATGATCATGGCTACTGATGATGATGATCATGGCTACTGACGATGATGATGATGATGATTTTTGTAAAGTGACTTTTGTTTTTGTATCGACGCGCTCCGTGTTGGTGCCGTGTTGGTCGTGCCACGTGAACACAGCCGTGAATCTCAGAGGACCCCCTCGCTCATCGCTACCCTATCACCCATGGCAACCCACTCGCCCATAGCAACCCCATCACCCATAGCAGCCCCCCCCCGCCCATCGCTACCCCCTCGCCCATAGCAACCCCCCCCCTCGCTCATCGCTACCCCATCACCCATGGCAACCCACTCGCCCATAGCAACCCCATCACCCATAGCAACCCCCCCCCCCCGCCCATTGCTACCCCCTCGCCCATCGCAACCCCATCACCCACGGCAACCCCCTCGCCCATGGCAACCCCCTCACCCATCGCTACCCCCTCGCCCATAGCAACCCCCTCGCCCATGGCAACCCCCTCGCCCATAGCAACCCCCTCACCCATGGCAACCCCCTCGCCCATGGCAACCCCCTCGCCCATAGCAACCCCTTCACCATTGGCAACCCCCTCGCCCATAGCAACCCCCTCACCCATAGCAACCCCCTCGCCCATGACAACCCCCTCGCCCATAGCAACCCCCTCGCCCATGGCAACCCCCTCGCCCATAGCAACCCCTTCACCCATGGCAACCCCCTCACCCATAGCAACCCCCTCACCCATAGCAACCCCTTCGCCCATGGCAACCCCCTCGCCCATGGCAACCCCATCACCCATGGCAACCCCCTCGCTATGGCAACCCCCTCGCCCATGGCAACCCCCTCGCCCATGGCAACCCCCTCACCCATGGCAACCCCCTCGCCCATAGCAACCCCCTCACCCATGGCAACCCCCTCGCCCATGGCAACCTCATCACCCATAGCAACCCCCTCGCCCACAATTACCCCTCGCCCGCGACTACCCCCTCAGCTGTTTTAAATAAAGGTCTCCAACTTCCACTCTCTCTCTCACAGACTCAATTCCTCAACCATTAAGGTCACGTGCAGTAGATTACATCCTTTGGCTGCCACTGCTGCATCATTCTTGGGAGCTACGGTGGCTAGGAGATGTTAACTACCTCGCCTGGTGTACAGGAGGTCGTGGGTTCGATCCCGACCCTGACGCCTGTTGCTGTATATTTGGAGTTTGCGTGCCTCTCTCCGTGGCGAGATGTTGACTACCTCGCCTGGTACACAGGAGGTCGTGGGTTCGATCCTGATCCTGACGCCTGCTGCTGTATATCTGGAGTTTGCGTGTCTCTCTCCGTGTTGAGATGTTAACTACCTCGCCTGGTATGCAGGAGGTCGTGGGTTCTATCCCGACCCTGACGCCTGCTGCTGCTGCTGTATATTTGGAGTTTGCGTGTCTCTCTCTCTCCCGGTGATCGCGTAGATTTTTCTCCAGGTCCTCCGTTTTTTTTTACCTTCACATTTAGAATCGATTTCACCACGCGTTTAGAGTGATTTGCTTGCTGCTATAAAAGTCCACCTGATGATGATGATGATAAAGCCACGACGTTGAGCTGTCATTTGTGACGGCCAGGCCGCCTAAATAATCATAGTTTAGTTTTATTATGAAATTAATCACCACTCCTTCCATCAGTTATGCCTCGTTCCAGCCCGTGACGTCTTCTGCCCGAGGTTTTTCCCACCAACAGAGGAGATGGGGCGATGGAAATCAACTCGTGGTTGCTGCTGCCCGGATCGTTAACCCCGCAGGATCGCCAGAGGTGGCAACGGATTGGGGAGAGAAGCCCTCATCCTGCAGTGGATTGACCATGGCTGGTGGTGGTGGTGATGATGAAGTTTACACCATTGGAACCTCCTTTGCCAGTAGCAAAATATGATAATTGGTTTTTTACCCTTTTATCTGGCAACAAAACTGACACCTTTTTTTTACCAGATGACGCCAAAAGGCGCACAACTCAAAGACAATGCACCATCAGAGTATGAGAGCTCGGGGTAATAATTTACACCATTGGAACCTCCTTTGCCAGTAGCAAAATATGATCATTGGTTTTTTACCCTTTTATCTGGCAACAAAACTGACACCTTTTTTGCAACTACTTTGTAAAAAAGGTTGTTGCCAGATAAAAGGGTAAAAAAAACAATTATCGATGATGAGGTTGCTAAACGATCAACTATTTAAAGCGAAGTGGCTTCATCATCATCGTCATGTAGACATTTACATCAGCAGCCAGACACTTTACATTCGTGATGTTCATTCTAAATGTGGAGGTAAAAATTGGAGGACCCGGAGAAAAATCCACGCCATCGGGAGAGGGGCGTGTCACTACCCCCCACCACCACGAGGGGCGTGTCACTACCCCCCACCAGCACGAGGGGCGTGTCACTACCCCCCACCACCACGAGGGGCGTGTCACTACCCCCCACCACCACGAGGGGCGTGTCACTACCCCCCACCACCACAAGGGGCGTGTCACTACCCCCCACCACCACGAGGGGCGTGTCACTACCCCCCACTACCACGAGGGGCGTGTCACTACCCCCACCACCACGAGGGGCGTGTCACTACCCCCCACCACCACGAGGGGGTGTGTCACTACCCCCCACCACCACGAGGGGCGTGTCACTACCCCCCACCACCACGAGGGGGCGTGTCACTACCCCCACCACCACGAGGGGCGTGTCACTACCCCCCACCACCACGAGGGGGCGTGTCACTACCCCCCACCACCACGAGGGACGTGTCACTACCCCCCACCACCACGAGGGGGCGTGTCACTACCCCCCACCACCACGAGGGGGCGTGTCACTACCCCCCACCACCACGAGGGGCGTGTCACTACCCCCCACCACCACGTCACTACCCCCCACCACCACGTCACTACCCCCCACCACCACAAGGGGCGTGTCACTACCCCCCACCACCACGAGGGGCGTGTCACTACCCCCCACCACCACGTCACTACCCCCCACCACCACGTCACTACCCCCCACCACCACAAGGGGCGTGTCACTACCCCCCACCACCACAAGGGGCGTGTCACTACCCCCCACCACCACGTCACTACCCCCCACCACCACAAGGGGCGTGTCACTACCCCCACCACCACAAGGGGCGTGTCACTACCCCCCACCACCACGTCACTACCCCCCACCACCACGTCACTACCCCCCACCACCACAAGGGGCGTGTCACTACCCCCCACCACCACAAGGGGCGTGTCACTACCCCCCACCACCACGTCACTACCCCCCACCACCACGTCACTACCCCCCACCACCACGTCACTACCCCCCACCACCACGTCACTACCCCCCACCACCACGTCACTACCCCCCACCACCACGAGGGGCGTGTCACTACCCCCCACCACCACAAGGGGCGTGTCACTACCCCCCACCACCACAAGAGGGCGTGTCACTACCCCCCACCACCACGAGGGGCGTGTCACTACCCCCCACCACCACGTCACTACCCCCCACCACCACGTCACTACCCCCCACCACCACGAGGGGCGTGTCACTACCCCCCACCACCACGTCACTACCCCCCACCACCACGAGGGGGTGTGTCACTACCCCCCACCACCACGAGGGGCGTGTCATTACCCCCCCCCCCACCACGTCACTACCCCCCACCACCACAAGAGGGCGTGTCACTACCCTCCACCACCACGTCACTACCCCCCCCCACCACCACGTCACTACCCCCCACCACCACAAGGGGTCGTGTCACTACCCCCCACCATCACGTCACTACCCCCCCCACCACCACGTCACTACCCCCCACCACCACAAGGGGTCGTGTCACTACCCCCCACCACCACGTCACTACCCCCCCCCCACCATCACGTCACTACCCCCCACCACCACAAGAGGGCGTGTCACTACCCCCCACCACCACGTCACTACCCCCCCCCCCCACCACAAGAGGGCGTGTCACTACCCCCCACCACCACGTCACTACCCCCCCCACCATCACGTCACTACCCCCCACCACCACAAGAGGGCGTGTCACTACCCCCTACGACCACTCCGCTCAGGGTGGCACCGTTGTTGTCACATAGTCACTTTAAGATGTTTTCTTGTTCATGTTTTTGTTTTTTGTTTGTTGCGGTTGCACCCGATTCAAGAGCCGAATGGCTCACAGGGCTATACCTAATACATGAACTTGAACAACCACGATGTCCAAATCGTCGTCACCAACATCACCACCACCACCATCCAATACCAACACCCCGGCCATTCGCCACGAAGTGACGGTGACGTCGCCACGGCGCCTGTGCCAGGCTAGGTGCACTTTGAGGCTGCCACGTGGATTGTCGAAGGCTCGCTGACAGGAGAAGGTCACGTGGTACAGACCCAGCAGGTGCCATGGGTTGGTTGACTGAGATGACCGGTAGATGCACCACCAGCTGTACCCCCCTACTGTGCCAGGCTAGGTGCAGGAGGTCTCGGGACAGACCCAGCAGGTGCCATGGGTTGGCTGAGATGACCGACAGACGCACTACCAGCTGTACCCCCCCTACTGTGCCAGGCTAGGTGCAGGAGGTCTCGGGACAGACCCAGCAGGTGCCATGGGTTGGCTGAGATGACCTACAGATGCATCACCAGCTGTACCCCCTACTGTGCCAGGCTAGGTGCAGGAGGTCTCGGGACAGACCCAGCAGGTGCCATGGGTTGGCTGAGATGACCTACAGATGCATCACCAGCTGTACCCCCTACTGTGCCAGGCTAGGTGCAGGAGGTCTCGGGACAGACCCAGCAGGTGCCATGGGTTGGCTGAGATGACCGGTAGATGCACCACCAGCTGTACCCCCCTACTGTGCCAACCATCATCACAACCATCATCACCATCAACAACATCGTAACCACAACCACCATCATCACCAACACCATAAATATTATCACCAACACCACCATCATCATGAGAACCATCACCATCATTATAACCATCATCATCACCACCACCACCATCATCGCCACCATCACCACCATCACCATCATCTTCAACTTCACCAAAAACATCATCATCAACACCACAATTACATGCGTTTTTTTAAGTTAAACAAGCACAGCAGTGGATAGAACATGGATCACGATGCCACGGGGCGGGGGGGGAGCGGGAGGGATCATCCAACGTCGCGATTTAATGTATACCTACATGACTTTACCGAAAGAACCAACGAGTAGACTATAATTTACAATTACATTTTTACACACTGACAAAAAAAACAATCGCGTTTCGTAAATATCAATCAACGCGTCCGCGCGCGCTCGCCGTAGCGCCGGTTCGTCCCCCCCCCCGCCCCCCCTATATAAGGGGGATTGTGGGTAGCCGCTGCCTTTTCCGGCGAGGAGCAAGAGGGAGGAAGTTGCGGCCTAGGTGAGGAGGCACGCGGCCCCAGCGGAGAGGCGCCGCGTCGCTTCGCAATCCGCATCCATCCGACACCGCCCGCGTCGCGAATCGTCGCGATAACCGAGTCGGTGTCTCGCGGAGAACCCGGGCTCGGTCGTGCCGCGTAAATTGCGGCCCGGCGCGCGTGTGAGTGGTGATGATGGTTAGTTTTGGGGCTACTGACTACGTGGTGTGTGTGTGGTGGTGATGGTGAGTGTTGGGGCTACTGACTACGTGTGTGGGGGTGATGGTGAGTGTTGGGGCTACTCACTACGTTGTGTGAGTGGGGGTGATGGTTAGTTTTGGGGCTACTGACTACGTGGTGTGTGAGTGGTGGTGATGGTGAGTGTTGGGGCTACTGACTACGTGTGTGGGGGTGATGGTGAGTGTTGGGGCTACTCACTACGTTGTGTGAGTGGGGGTGATGGTTAGTTTTGGGGCTACTGACTACGTGGTGTGTGAGTGGTGGTGATGGTGAGTGTTGGGGCTACTGACTACGTGTGTGGGGGTGATGGTGAGTGTTGGGGCTACTCACTACGTTGTGTGAGTGGGGGTGATGGTTAGTTTTGGGGCTACTGACTACGTGGTGTGTGAGTGGTGGTGATGGTGAGTGTTGGGGCTACTGACTACGTTGTGTGAGTGGTGGTGATGGTGAGTGTTGGGGCTACTCACTACGGTGTGTGTGTGGTGGTGATGGTGAGTGTTGGGGCTACTCACTACGGTGTGAGTGGTGGTGCTGGTTAGTGTTTGAGCTACTCACTACGTGATGTGTGTGGTGGTGATGGTGAGTGTTGGAGCTACTCACTACGTGGTGTGTGTGGGGGTGATGGTGAGTGTTGGGGCTACTGACTACGGTGTGTGTGTGGGGGAGCTGGTGAGTGTTGGGCCTACTCACTACGGTGTGAGTGGTGGTGATGGTGAGTGTTGGGGCTACTCACTACGTGGTGTGAGTGGTGGTGATGGTGAGTGTTGGGTCTACTCACTACGGTGTGTGTCTGTGTGTGGTGATGGTGAGTGTTGGGGCTACGCACTACGTTGTGTGTGTGTGGGTCCTGGTGAGTGTTGGGTCTACTCACTACGGTGTGTGTCTGTGTGTGGTCGTTCTCGATTGTAGTTTGCGTGCTGGCTTCGTTTCGTCGCTCCGTCTCTTCCACGGAGCCGCGTTCCCTCTGGAACGCGGCTCCGTGATTTTTACTGCCGCTCCGTCTTTTGAACGTCACGTAAACAGAACGTAATTACAACCGGTATCATCAGGCGGACAGACAGATTTGGTTTATTTTACTCGGCAAGGCCTCCCCCCCCCCCCCCACTGGGCTATATGGCTCTCTTTCAGAAGCGACCAGTCCATCACAAGTGATACAACTCCAACGAAGTGGCTTATCGTGTAAACATTTACAGTAGCAAACAAATCATTGTAAGTGCATGCTTCTAAATGTGGAATGGGAGGGGGGAGACCGTAGAAATTCACGCAATCACAGGGAGAGAGACGCAGACTCCAAATATACAGCAGGTGGCAGGGTCTGGCTCGAACCCACGACTTACTGCATACCAGGCGAGGTAGTCAACATCTCGTATAGCCATAACGTGTCTGAACCAAGTCACTTTGGGTTTACACCATTGGAACCTCATTTGCCAGATTAAAAAATCTGATAATTGGTTTTTTACCCTTTTATCTGGCAACAAAACTGACACCTTTTTTAGGGGGTTCCAATGGTGTAAATGCTTCACCCCGAGCTCTCATACTCTGGTGTATTGTCCTTTGAGTTGTGCGCCTTTTGGCGTCATCTGGTCCAACACCATGTGAGGCTAGGCTCTTAAGAAAAGCTGTCTCGGGTGTGGACCAATCAACTTCAAGGACAGTGCATACATTATCAGAGTTGTGTTTGTGAATTATCTTGAACTCCAATCTGCTCCGTCCGTTCATCACGCGTGACCTTCCGCGTCTGACGTGGCGGCCTAAGAATCGGAATATTTATCCTGGAGGAATTCGATGATCTATAAAGCTTTTTCCCACAGATGTCCAGCAGCAGGCGGCAAAACGTCATTGTCCTGTCGTATGCTATTTCATAACATAAACAGGATACAATTTTGTTATTTTAGCTTTGTAAGCCATTCCCCGCCATGCTGTACTGTATTTCTAGGCTCGTGTTGTCTTCGGTCCACGCAGTAGACTGCCCAACGTGATTCAAATGAACCCCCCCCCCCACACACGTGACTTGCCCTTATGGGGCCTCCCCCTTGGGGGAAGAAGGGTTGTTGCCGTGTGTGTGGGGGTTGTGTGAGGAGTGGTGGCACAGCGGTTGATGCGCACACACACACTGCCCAACTACAAACCCAGCAAGCCAAACCCTTCTTGTGTTCCAACTCCCGGCCACAGCTGACTTTACATCAATTGGTGTATAACCCGAGCCCGGTTCTACACCTCCTAGATCGACTCGGCCCTAAATGAGTCTCTGCCGCGTTGTGCGCACAATCACCGCTGGGGATACGAAGGGCGGTGGGGGGGGGGGGGGCTCGCCCTGCGGGCAACGCTTGAGGCGGTAGGCCGTGCGGCTAACGTGGCATCTTTGCTGTGTCCCCATGTGTGTGCGTGTGCAGCTTGATCCAAGCGGCAACAGAAGAAGTGCACAGCCATGGTGAGATGGGGAATCCGCTTGGCACGTGACAGAGTTCACGACGCACACATCACGCACCGCACGCGCGCACCGTGTCGTGCAGGCTATTGGTGGTGTGTGAGATGTGGCGTGTGGCCTGCGATGGTCGTGTGAGTTGTGGCCGAGTGCGCTGTGGTGAATGGGTGGGTGATCGCCGCCTGTGCCGCGTCTTGTGCTCCACAGCCTCGCCAAATTGAGGAGATCAAGGAGTTCCTCCTCAAGGCACGGAGAAAGGATGCCAAATGTGAGCCACTGCACCGCATCACGCTGGACTACCAGCACCACACCTCAACATACCACTACCAGCACTACACCACAACACACCACCGCCAGCACCACACCTCAACACCAATACCAGCAGCCACAACACACCATTCCACTACCAGGTCTACACTTTGCTGCCAGCACTACACCACAACACACCACTACACATCAACACACCACTACCAGCACCACAACACACCACTACCAGCACCACACCTCAACACCACTGCCAGCACCACAACACACCACTACCAGCACCACACCTCAACACACCACTACCAGCACCACACCTCAACACCACTGCCAGCACCACAACACACCATTCCACTACCAGGTCTACACCACTTCGCTGCCAGCACTACACCACAACACACCACTACACATCAACACACCACTACCAGCACTACACATCAACACACCATTCCACTGCCAGCACGACACCACAACACCCCTCTACACCTCAGCTCACTCCACCAGTGGAGTTTATCTGCAATCCCAATGTGTTTCGACTGTCTTGCGATGTGTTCCCGTGGTTGGGCGAGGCTTAGAGTCTTGTGCTGGTGTGCACCGTCGCCAGCACATGCTATTGCGCTCGCAGATTAACCCGGCTTGCCTTATTCACTGGGCCGCTCTCACGTGATCGGCCCGGTCACCTGGCTTGCTACATGCGTGTGCTCGGGTTTTACATGTGAAGGACGTTGTGATGGGGGTGTGTGTGTGGGGAGCAAGTTGGCAATGTAGGGGGGCACAGGTGGTGCATCTGCCAGTCATCTCGGTCAACCCATGCCACCTGGGTCTGTCCCGTGACCTGCCAGCGGGCGTTCGACACTTTGCGTGCCCTTGAAATGCACACAGCCTGGCACGAGCGCCGTGGTGACGTCACCGCCACCGAGTAGCCGATGTCGGTTGTTGTTGGTGGAGGAGTGGTAGTGCAGTGGGCTGGCGCACTGCGCTGCAGAGCCAGAGAGCCGAGTTCGATTCCCGTCCATGACCAACACCGGTGACTTATTATCCAAACTGGTCCCGGGGTCTTTCCTAGATGGACCCCGGCCTCAAATGTGTACCCGGTGCGAGGTGTGTGAACGTCGCCACTGGGGCGACAAAGCCGGTCGGGAGTAGGGCTGGCTGGCGCAACCACGGCTTCCGTGGGCCGTGCCGGCCTTAGCGGCACTTGCCCCCCAAGCTGTGAGAGCAGGTGGATGTGTTAACGCGCTCGCCCTCCCGTGTCTCAGCCGTGAAGATCAAGAAGAACAAAGAAAACTACAAGTTCAAGCTGCGCTGCTCACGCTTCCTCTACACCCTGGTGATCATGGACCAGGAGAAGGCCGACAAGATCAAGCAGTCACTCCCACCGGGTACGCACGCTCGCCCCCCCACCACCGGACAGTACTCACGGCACTCGCTCACGAGTACTGCACGCACTGGATTAGTCGTACTGCACGCACCGGAGTACACTTTACACAATTACTAGTCACACGCGAGAGCACTCGCTGCACACATTGACGAGTACACTACACACTGAGTACTCTCACAACACACACGTGCTATCGTTCTCTACTCCTGGGTACTAAACCTACTAACTGCGGTACACACTGCTCACTAGAGTACACTTAATACGACTCTGCACCCGCGCTAAAGTACTGTGGTACTCACACAATTCACACCACACACTTTAACGTGAGTACTTCAACCACGCACGATACAAACTACACACTCTTAGTACTTTCACTAGCAATCACACCACTCGCACTTATCGCACTTGCACTACAGGAAGACCAAGATCCCTTAGCCTATTGGGGCAAGTGCTGTTAGCGAGCACTTATGAAGGCATGGGATGGGTATCTCCCGAGTGGCCATGTTTACACACCGCACCAGGTACTCATTTGAGGCCGAGTCGGCCGAGAGGAGGCCCAGGACCGGTTCAGATAATGGTTGCTGGTGTCGGTCGTGAGCGGGAATCGAACTCAGGTCGCCGGGGTTTGTAGCGCAGCGCTACAATAGCGCTCGCTCCCCACACATGCATGTGAACACTCGCCGTTAAACTCGTGTCTCTGTGCTGACCTCCCTCTCCATGCCGTCGCGTGTGTTTCAGGTCTGGAGGTGAAGGAGCTCAAGTAGCAACAGCAGCCGCTGCTGCTGATGTCGCTGTCCTTCTGTTCGTTATTCAAATAAAATCCCACCGTGAGAAAGACCTCTGGTTTCGGGCCTGCTGTGGGCGAGTGCGGTACTGGCTCTGTGGTTACGTGCGGAGTGAAAGAAGTTCTATGTGTGATAATTGGTTTTTTACCCTTCTGTCTGGCAACAAAAATGACACATTTTTTACAACTTTAAGGGCAGTGCATACATTATCAGAGTTATGTTTTTTGTTTGCATTATGACTGCAGGTATTGTGGTCTATGCAAACATGACTCCTTGTAAAAAAGGTGTAATTTTTGTTGCCAGATAGAAGGGTAAAAAACCAATTATATTTTTTACTGGCAAATGAGGTTCCAATGAAGTTCTATGTACATACAAAAAGGTTGGGGGAGGGAGGGGACTTCAGCAGCGTAGAGGGCCAAGTTGGTGTGATCACTGCACAGCGAATCTGCTGACCTGAGTTCAGTTTCCAGGTTGATAATTCTGTCTAAACGTGTCATGGGCCCCCTCTGCCTTAGGTATTTATGTATAGTAGTCCGTATGTATACCATGCGTAACCAACCGTGTTCTTCGGAGGTGTGGGGGTGGGCCAGAAGGACAACAAACCAAAAGGCAAAGCAGAGAGGAGTTGTCTTGGCCTTAAATGAATATCTGGTGCATTCTATCAAGTCTGTAAGAATCTGTGCTGGGAAGACGCCAGATAATTGTGCTGTCCACACACCCCAACCCCCTTTTGAGGCTTTTCCAACCTTGATGGGCGTTCGCAAACAGCTCTAAGGCTGCACTGAGGAGTGTTATGGCACGACTGTGTGGACGTTTGGTTGTGATTCTGAGGAATTGGGATTCTATAGCTTTAGACGAGGCCACACAGCCATACATCCACCACTACACCGCTTTGTACCATCTATTACATCCACTATACCGCTTTCTACAATCCATTACATCCACTACTACACCGCTTTCTACCATCAATTACATTCACCACCACTTGCCACTCTCCATCACATCCACCACTTACCGCCATCCATTACATCCACCACTATACTGCGCACCACCCTCCACCACTACACCGCTTGCCACCACATCCACCACGACACCGCTTGCCACCATGCATCGATCGCCCCAAGCTGGAGCTTCGCAATCCACAAGGGGCCGTCATCTGGAGCGTGGCACCACGGTCAACAACGTCCACGGTTGTGACCTGCCCCCCCCCCCCCCACGGCCGGCCGAATGCCCCCCCCCCCCACAGTGTCCTACGCAGAGATGCTGGTGTCAGCCACCGTCCCCATCTATCCGTCACATCCACCGCGATGACAAATCCTTCCACTAACAACCACCGTTGCTATCCATCACAACCACCACCCACCACACCGTGACTGGGTATGTGATTGTGGGGGGGGGGTGGGTGTATAATCTGGGGCTGCACATGGAATTGAGGAACTGGTACAGACGCGTGGAGGTGGCTCACGGCGGGTGGACGGAGACACTGGGGGGCATGGACAAGAGGGATGTAGTGGGGGGGTCACGTGGTGGGGGGGGGGGGTCACGTGGTGGGGGGGCTATACCATCTCTTGGCGTAATGCACCGCGGCTTTGCGCGCTAACGACGCCAAATCCCGCGGCAATGCAGCGAACGTCCCGTGCGTGGGGGGGGGGGTTACATCGATTCAAACCGATTGCTCGCCTCCACTCGAGGCTGCCCTTTCATGAGAAGACGCCTTTTACACCATGCCCACGAGACACACGAGGAAACTTCAAAACCGATAATAAAAAAATATCTAACCTCATGACAATAAAAAAATCGTATTTTACACTTTCTGGCAATAAAACAGGAGGTAATAAAAGGGGTTTCCCCTTTTTTCTGGCAACAAAACTGAAACCTTTTTACAAGGATTCGTGTCTGCATTAACCACAATACTTGCAGTCAAAATGCAAACAACAAAAAACCACACTGATAATATATTCGCATTGTCCTTGAAACTGATTGGTCCACACCAGAGACAGCTTTCTTTTGAGCCTCGTCTCAATTGGTGCTCGACCAGATGACGCCAAAAGGCGCACACAGCTCAAAGACGACGCCCTTGCCCATCCCGGCGTCGTACGCGTGCACCGGTTCTTCGTCAACGTACGTCACCGGGCAGTCGAAAGGCCACGTGGGAGGGCAGTGCGACACGGTGTTGGCACCGGCTGTAGAGTAACGACGCCTTAAAAACAACGGCGCTGTGACTTGCAGACAGTCTCGGAACGGCAGAAGGGGGTTATGATGAGCGCTTGCGTGCGCGATTAGAAGCGGAGTTTCCTGGAGAAAACCCGTACCGTACAAGGGTGGGGTGGGGTGGTGTGGTGGTGGTGGTGGTGGTGGTGGTGGCGGACGTGGTGGTGGTGGCGGCGGGGGTGGTGGTGGTGGTGGTGGGGTGGTTATTGCGTGGTGGTGGGGGTGGTGGCGGCGTGGTGGTGGGTGGTGGTGGGTGTGGTGGTGGTGGGGGGTGGTGGTGGTGGGGTGGTGAGTGGGTGGTGGCGGCGTGGTGGTGGTGGCGTGGTGGTGGGGTGGGGGTGGGGTGTGGTGGTGGTGGGGGGGGGGTGGTGGTGGTGGTGGGGTGGTGGTGGTGGGGTGGTGGTGGGGTGTGGTGGTGGGGTGGTAGTGGGTGGGGTGTGGTGGGGGGGTGGTGGTGGCGGCGTGGTGGTGGCGGCGTGGTGGTGGTGGGGTGGTAGTGGGTGGGGTGGTGGGGTGGTGGCGGCGTGGTGGTGGTGGCGTGGTGGTGGCGTGGTGCGTGGTGGTGGTGGTGGTGGTGGGGTGGTGGTGGTGGTGGTGGCGTGGTGGTGGGGTGGTTATTGGCGTGGTGGTGGGGTGGTGGTGGTGGTGGGGTGGCGTGGTGGTGGCGTGGTGGTGGTGGCGTGGTGGGGTGGTGGTGGGATGGTTATTGGCGTGGTGGTGGTGGTGGTGGTGGGGTGGTGGTGGTGGTGGCGTGGTGGGGTGGTGGTGGGGTGGTTATTGGCGTGGTGGTGGGGTGGTGGTGGCGTGGTGGGGTGGTGGTGGAGGGGGAAACAGCCGTCACGGAGAGAGACCCGAACCAGTGGGAAGAAGTCCGCGTCTCTCTGCACCACGCCAGGGAACGACGACTGCTCGATGCCCGTGCGGGAAGGGAGTTCCGAGAGAATTTGTGCGCGCGAGCCAGCAACGGGGTACAAGCCGATAACCCCCCTCGGTTTGAGTGCCAACTTCGCAAGCGTTTACGTCTTCACAACAACAACAACAACAGCAACAAATAAAGGAAGCGAGATTTCACGTGGGGATTCCATAAATGTAAACCGGGTTCAAGCGAAATATTCCAAAACAACAATCGTACGGCTACAAACATTTTTTTTTAAACGAACTAAAAATTACCGGTAAAATCTTGACAGCAAAAAATAGGATTTGAGAGGTGGGGGCAAAGGGGGGGGGGGCGGGGGCGTGAATGCTGTAAACGAAACTGGAGTGGCGCACGGCGAAACGCGGCGTCGTGAGCCTCCCAGGGCCCAACGTTGGTGTGAATGTTGAACTTCTTTTGCGCCATACGTGACCAGCCGCGGCTACATCGGAGGTGCGGGGAGGGGGGTGAAGGACCGCAAACTAAACGCAAAAAGAAATTAGCTTTCAATCGAGATGATTGTAAAGTGCACATAGCTTCATTTCGGTAGGAAGAGCGTTCCAGACGGCCGCATGAAGCGCGTCCGAAAGCGCCGTCTTCGATCGAAGGCTTCGCCAAAATCCGCCGCTGCGAGGACGAGCGGAGTTAGCGGTTCGTGCTCCTTGCCGAGATCAGCGAAGCATCGTGGTTCGTTTGTGGCAATCGCTTTGTGTGCAATAGGCACGACCTTATAACGTAAAAGGTCGCCCTCCTCATTGCACGCAAACCGGAAGCCAATTGCAGCTCAACAAACGCCGGACGAACCCGGGCCGTGTTCTTGCAGTTCACGGCAGAGGTCGCAAACGGGTTTTGATTCCTTACCCGTACCCGTACCCGGCCGCACCAGGGTCGCAAATGGGTACCCGTACCCTACCCGTACCCTACCCGAAATGAGTGACAAACGGTTACTCACCAGTGACTCACGGCCTATCCCGTACCCGTACCCGACCGCACCAGGGTCGCAAACGGCTACCCGTACCCGGCCGGGTACGGGTAGCCGGGTATCGGGTAGGGTACGGGTATCGGGTACCCGGTTGCGACCTCTGGTTCACAGCGATTCAATGCAGAGGTTCACGGTCCGGAACCGGCGGTCGTCCTGGTTATTACCGCGGGGGGTGGTTATGTTGAACTGCGAAATACGTAAACACAACCACGCGGCACTCTGCTTCACTCGAAGCTGGACGTCAGAGAGATCCTGTGACGCCGTTGGCAAGAGGAGGCCACTAGGGTGCTGGCATCAGGGTCCAAATAAATAAATAATTTGGCCGCAAATTACTCGTTCGGAATTACACACACACACAAAAAGCAGCAATCATTGCCCCCCTGCTAACAGACTCCACCCTAAATCGAAATCCACTGCACAAACCACGATGCGCTCACGGAAATTGTAAAACTCTGCAGCAACGTGTGACTGGTCATCCGGAAAACAGACTCTACAACAAAGTCGAACGACTCAATGCCCCCGATCCACAAACACCTTGGGATTGCGAGCATAATTCGTATCGGAAACGTGTTTGCAATCCAAAGCACTCGTATATCAAAGCACTGATATATCCGTAGTGATCACGTGATGCTCGGGAGCCAAAGCATATACGTACTACTCGTATTGCAAAGACCTCGCTCCGTTTATCAAATTAATATTTATTTTAAAAAATTTGCTCGTCTTGCAAAACACTCGCAGACCAAGTTACTCGCAATCCAAGGTTTTACTGAACTCCCCTTTGCTCCTGACGCAGTCGTCCGACTTGACCAACCTGAATTGTGACATTGAGGTTGTTGCCCTGCAACCACATCAGACAGACGAGGTCAAGGTGCTGACCCCCCCCCCCCCCCCCCCGTATCGCACAGGGACAGCAGCTGCCACTCGGGTTTGCCTCACTCTCAGATGT